TCTGTTATGATTTGGTGTTATACAAATAAAATTTTATGGAATTGAATAAATAGCATTACAGGTAAGAGAAAAAATATTGATTCAGTAATAATTAAACTCTTACTATCTGTCCATGCACCACTAATTAGTAAGCTTTTATTTTTGGTGGAGCAATATTAAAATCTATTAAAATCAGCTGGAAATCTGTAGCTAAAAATGTCTCATTGTAAGATAAACATAACGATTCCTGTATTCAGGTGATACACTAATGAAAACACGTATATTATATTCAATTTCTGGACCTTTAATTGTGACCATGAGGCTTAAAACACATTAATGAATCACATGAAAATGCATATTTACGATAGCTCTGAGTACCATTAAAGATATTTTGTTCATTTATAATTGTGTTGTTCTCTCCTCTTTTCATTCCTGCCTCAGCTGTCTTTCCTCCACCAATCACCAGTACAACAAGCAGGATGGTGGTTTGCTGCTCAGTGGCCTTACTAGAGAGGAACTTCTTGGCAAGACGTCAATTTAATTTCCCCTTCCAGGTTTAGTGCACTGAGCATGTGTGTGTAAAAATAAATGTTGTTCATATTAATTTAAATTTAGACTACAGTTTGTGCTCATCAAATGTTTTTTTTTTTTTTTTTTACGAGTGCAGGAAAATTAAAACGTTAATACTCTCAGACCTTTCATGGGACCTTCTTTGCATGAAAAACAAGTATAAACTGAGCTGGCTCTGCTGATAGACAGACATTTGGAGGATTTGAATAATGTCTCAATTTCTTTGCTTTATGTCAAGCTGAAAAATTCACTCATTTCCCAGTAAATAATTATTCAGTGTAAACTGGCATTAGACATGCTTCTGAGTGTCCTATATTGAGAAAATGTCTTTCCAAATTCCCAATTCACAGTGCAATAATTCATTCAATTAAATAGATTGTCTTTTGGAGCAGGGAAAGGATCATCATAATACCAAATATAATCAGTTGAGCATATTCATTAAATTTTGAGGCTTTGCCAATTGCAGCACTCCAGTATTTTTAAAATATTTATAACTGACTTGACAAGAATACGTGTGAGTCCAAAAGACTTTTCCTTGAACTTCAGAAACCAGTTTCTTTATTGATAAAATCTCTCTTCCAGCTGGGGAATATGCCTTCGACTGTTAGCGGCAGTTCTTTGGTACCAGACCAAAGTTAAAGACAGCACAATCCCCAGTGCCGTGCCGGTAAGACCCTGTACTGTAAGTGGCTGTTACAACCTATTAGAGTGGTTGCATTGCTAATAAAAATCAAATGACAGCACTGGAGCAGATGTGCCTCTGCTGGCTGTGTGGAGACATGGCAGGTTGTCACACAGCTTCAACAGCAGAGGGATACATGTTATTGTTTTGGTGACATGTTGATATTTACTACAGGACAGAGGCTCATATTTACAGTTTAATGGCTGAGTGACTCTGAGTGGATGACTGAGCTCTGCAGTGTGACCTTAGACACTTATTTAACCTGAAATTATACCTTTAAAAGGTCCAGTGTGTAACATTTAGGAGGATCTACTGGCAGAAATTGAATATAATAATCATAACTATGTTTTCATTAGTGTATAATGACCTGAATGTAGGAATCATTATGCTTTTGTTACGTGAGAATGAGCAATTTCTACATACAGATGTTTCGGGTCGCCTTTAATGGAGTCCTGCCATGTTGAACTGTCATGTTGCAACAGTAGCCCAGAAGGGACAAACCAAACACTGGTTGTAGATAGGGTCGAGTTTCTCCTTTGCGCTTCGAAGGGGAGGGTGAAAGGAGGTTTCGATCTGCACCACTAGATATCAATAAATCCTTCACACTGAACCCAGAATCTCAATTTGTCAAAGGGGGTTTTAAAATCTGGACAAACAACTTCAGGCGTCGCCGAGTGAGACATACGACCTGCTCTCCACCACAGAGACCTGGGGGAAGATGATCAAGATCCAAACATCTGGATGAAGCTCTCAATCTCTAATATATATATCTGTTCCCCCTTCCAAACTCAACCAACCAATTTCTCCATTCCCTCCAAACTCCTCTTAAAAACTGTCCCTGGCAGTAGGAAGGACAAGCTTTCTGTTGGGCTCTTTATGTGTGTGAATGTGTTTCTTTGTAGAATTTTTTCACATTTGCTAATTTCTGTAAAGTACTGGGACATCTGAGCTGATGCACGTCACAGCCTGTGTGTCCCGAAAGATGAGTTTTGTCAAGTTTACTGTTTCGATCAGTGGTTCTCAAAATGTGTCAAGGACCCACAAATTGATACACATCAGGCCGCTGACCTGTCTTTGATAAGCTGTAGTCTCAGGGATCCCTGTTTGATAAGACTGTGTCTACTGCAGATTGGCAGGGTAACTGAAGGAACCTATGAACAGTTCTTGGGAACCTTCTGAAACCCCTTCAAGGACCCCTGAGGCTCCCAGGACCCCAGGTTGAGAAGACTTAGTGTACAACTTAAAATTCATTTTAAGCTTATTATTGACAATCTGTGGTAAATTATTTTAAACTTCTACTCAACTCTACTTTCTTCTACCCCCAAACTCTATCTCACAGTAAACTTGCCCAGAGGTCAAGCAGCTGCTGTTCCTAAAGAATGAGTCTCGTCACTCAAATGACAAACTAGCAATGTCAATTATCAATTATATACACAATTAACACATTTACAGGTAAGGTATAATGCTTCACTGTCTTGTCCTGTGAGCATCAACTAATATAATAAAGATACCCATTATTAGCAATCAAGGAAACTGATAACTAATATTTGGAACCAATATACATTAGCAGTCAAATATATGTCTTAATACCTTAATTTTAGAATAATCAGTGGTGGAGTAACTAAGTAAGTCTACTCAAGTGCTTTATACTTCCACTAAGCTACCTTTTGGAGGCAAAAATCTTACTTTTTATTCCATTACATTCACATTATTAATACAAAATGATCTCCACCTTGTCCAGCTGCAACCTTAAACAATAATAGCAATCATACAGGGTTAGTGGTATGTTAAGAAAATTTATATTTACAATATATACTTTAAACACACTCAGTATCGGCCGATATTGGAATTGTTATCGGGAAGGAAAAAATTGTATCGGAACATTAATTTATTGTACTGGCAATCGGTTAAACAAAATAACAATACATATAATCCGAAAAATGCTGAATATTGGATCCGATTATTGGCCAAGCCGATAATCAATCTATCCCTATTGTCTTGAATTTATTGTTATGAACAAAGTACTCAGTAACATCACATGTATTTAAAAACAAACCATATTTAAGTAGGATTTATTATTTAGGAATATTTCCTGTGTCTGTATAACTTATCTCATCTTTTGTGAATTATGCACATTGATTCTGGGAAGGAAGTAATATAGTTTAATGAACAAGAGCTGCAGCAGACATGTAAAACAGCCTCACTTTATATAAACTGCTGTCTCAGTTTGGAGCCCTGCAGCACAGTCATATGGACCTGAGCTCAGTCTGCATCTCACAGCCGCCTGACAGCGTCGCAGCTCCAACTTTGCTCTAATGTTTGTCTCCTGACAGGAGGTCAGTGCTGCTTTCTTGACTCAGCCACCTAAACTCACTGCAAAGACACGAGGGAGAGAATTAGCTTTTAAGAACCTGTCCATCTCACATTTATTATTAGCAGACTGGAAATTAATGTGTTGTCCAAGAAATTGCTTTCTTTTCTGACTATTTTCCCCCTGTGTCTGGTAATATATATGTATGTGCTTTTTGCTTTTTTTAAGATGTTTGTGTTCACTGAAGGTTGTGGGGTTAATTATGTATAAAGAAAAGCTGTCGATCTCATTATGCATAGATGTTCACCTCTTATATAATACCAAATATCTACTGTCTTTGGGCTACAAAGCGGAGGAGGCGGAGGCAATCTGCAATGCTCAAACAACCCATGCAACCTTGTAAGAAACCAGCTGCCTTTACAGCATCTTCAAACTACAGCAGCCAGTGGATGATACTGTATGCAGAACAACTGTACTGTAAAGGACCAGCTTCAGAAACATTGTTTTAATTAAACTTGAGACTATACTTGACAAAGATTTATAGAAAGTTGGGAAAAGTAAAGCAAATCTTTGTGCCAGTGGTTGTCTTAGGTTTTCTTTCCTCCCCTGACAAGCATCAAACTGTTTCTTAAAATCTGAATAACACATCACTCCTCTTTCTCCGCACAACGTGCCCTTTTCTGTTTGCGAGGGCCAACACTCCCCCATGTGTTTGCATTTAACCTGACAATCTGACACTGGGATTTCCTACAAGCAAGTGTAGTGTGTGGGCTGCTTTGTTGAGCTGAGATGTGCAGGGTCATGTGTGGATGCGTGGGAGGGAATGTACAGTATCAGGTTCTAAGTATATTCACTGGTACACACAATGAACTAAAAGAAGTGCTGGCAGGCAAGTCAACTTAACTCAGGAAGATGTTATCACTGGTACACACAGGTGCACTATTCACTACAAATACAGAAATGTCTATTTGTCCTTTAATATGATCTCTTATAGTCCTGAAATCTGTGTTTCTCTTCTTCAGAAGGCAGTAAGGAAATACTAAAACATGGCTAAAACAAATTGTGTGATCTGTCTCTGCCATCTAGTGGAGGATGAATATGACTGGCCCATAAAATGACCCCCTCCTGTAACTCTGTCAAACCAACCAGCAAAGTATTGTTGTCTTACAAGCCTTCTTTTGACTTAGTTTGACTTGAATTTTTCCATCATTTAATGTTTCTAGTCACCAAATAATCAATGAAAGACCAAATGATGACCAAAAATACAGCGCGATGACGTGTATCAAATAGAATAATATCAGATTTAAATAAATAAATGATAATATAATGACTTAATAAACAGTTGCAAGTATTTTAGGCTACGTAATGCATACAAGCAATGAAATCCACCTTAAAGGAGATTTTTTTTTTTTTACAAGGGGACCCTGAAGGCAACAGTTACCATGACAACGGTACACAAACGCAACAGCCCAGCTTAAAGAGCGAGTGAACGTAAACTGATGTGAGTTATAGGCTATAACATTAGATAGCTACTAAATCTGTTCATGAACAGCATCATCAGACGGTACGGTGAGTTCAATACTAACATAGAAATTGGAGAAGTTTTAACTTTATGTTAACCTGTACAGCAGCTAGACTTTGTTTGGCAAGCTAATGGGTGCCTCTACAAGACAGTTTAAAGAGTCCAAATATAATATAATATAATATACTCCCTACATGTTTCAGCAAACGAGTGAAAACACCTGTGTGGTTGTGCAGAGCCTTTAAAAACAATAAACACATTTTAGACGTGAACAAATAAATGCAAATTGAAGGTTGCCTCGAATTGACTTTGTCAGAACATTTATATAAATAATTCATTTGTGTTCGTGCTGTTTGTCATCCACAGAAAGAGTTGTTTTCTTTCTGTAACCCTGCAGTGAAATGAAACCCTGAGCCAGATGTCAGAAGTAACCTGAGAGATGTCGTCACCACAGCCCGGTAAATACCTGTTATAATGCCAATGCTTCACACAGGAGACGCAGTGTGAATACAGTCAGTGTTTGATGAGGAATGTGTACCAGTATTAACAATATGTCTTCAACAGAAGGAGCAGAGATTTCCTCAGGCTGCATTGTTGTTTCAGAGACTGATAGTGCTGCCAAATCACATAAACCAGGTACAGTGGACAAAGAGACAGATCTTTACAATGGAAAACAGAGACAATCAAATTGTAAAAAAAAATAATTCTTTATCACATTGTGTGTAGACGTGAGGAGGAGGAGGAGGGAGACTCGACCGAGCCCATTCAAAGTGCCTGAGAGTAATAGCATTTTTCTACTGAGCATAAATGAAAAAGCGAACCGAAAAGAGGTTGGTGTGTGTTTGAGTGCAATTATAAATTCATAAATAAGTTGTTTTACACTTAAACTGCGTGATACTTGTGTGACACAGTGTCTTCAATGTCCTGCTGCTGTTCTCCTCCATACACAGGAGCAGCGTAAATTCCTGGCTTTGCCAATTGATGAGAAGTCGACCCACGCTGCACGAATGATGGCCAAGCTGAAGAAAGAGCTGGTAGTGGAGGAGGAGGAGGAGGAGGAGGAGGAGGAGGAAGAGGAAGAAAAGGAGAAGATGAAGAATCTAAAACAAATCAAGAGTAGGACAGTTCTCCCTAAACAAACACCCGGCAGACGTGAGCTGAAGATGGCCATGATGAAACGAGGTGAGTTGTGAAGGTGCTACTTGTAGCTTTTTAATAACCCTGTTTGTTGTGCTCCGTGGCTAACATGCTAATCTGAATGTTAACTATAGTCCGTCCTCTCCTCTGTCCCCAGAAAACATTACGAAAGACAGCAAACATGACCTAATCTCCATGGAAAGGCAGAAGGCAGTGTTGGAGGTAAATGACTTCATTGATCTTCCAGTTCTGTTTTCACATTTAAACTGTTTAGATTCACCTGAAAGGCTCACTGGAATGAAAAACAACTTCAGAAACAAAGTAGCATGATGTCTTTCTGCTATCCGAAACAGAAGTTAAGACATAATTGTTCCCACCCAAGCAACAAACCATCAAAAAAGACATTATGAAGGAGGGAAATGAAAGAGGGATTTAAACAAACATGAAAGGATTATTTAAAGCACTGCACTGTGGTTGTTTGGTTCAATCAATATCTTTTTTTAACCGCTGCCGGTATATGTCTGGCTTTACCCTCTCGCTTCATCTGCCCTCCCTTCCTTCCTCAGTTATCTCTGATGACGAAGAGGTCAGAGATTTTGAGGATGGACAAGGCCATCGCAAAAGAGGAAGGGCAGCTGAAAAAGCTCGAAAAGATCATCGAGAGAGACAACCTCAAGTTTGAAGAGTTCCTCAGGGAGAACGAGAAGAAGTCCGTGGAGGCCAGAACATTGTAAGTGTCAAGATGTGACTCCTTGTTGTGACTGAAAATGTAACGGTGGGTCTTGAACTAGTGTTTAACTGTTAAATTACTACTGAATACAGGCTTGTTTTGTCCTAACAAGAGGACGTGAATATGATGTTTAAAAAGTCTGCACTGCAAATGGTTGTCTTGTCTCTGTTGTCAGTTTCGAACGGGAGGCCCAGTCCAAACAGCAGAAGAACACTGAGATCAAAAAACTGACTGCTGAAATAGGCACCATAAAAAGGTAGCACTCTGATAATGTTTTATAATTAACATGTATGAGTGTGCACATGTTTTAGTTAGTGATGCACTGATTTCAATACCAGTGTCGGGTGTCGGATCCAATAATGTGCTCATGTAAATTTAATCATGAACCTACTCCAATACCCCACATGTGACGTTGCGTAACCTTAAACCCAAGTTTGGAGATTTTGGAACAACATTAGCAATTTATATATTTTCAAAGCCCTTGTTAGAGCTGTTATTGTATTTGTTAAGTACTCATATCACTACAGGCTATTGGCAAACACCCAGTTAACTTGTATTTGGTCTGAAAAGAAGTGGTATCCGTGCATTTCGTTTACCCAAAAGGTAAAAGGTAGGCGAAGTGAAGAACTATACATCAGCGTGAACACATCATAAAGCTAGTCTTTCTTTTTCATAGTGAACTCGCAAAGTTTGAAGACATCCTGATAGACTACAAGAAGTACAAGGAGCTTCTGTTCAAGTTGTCTCCTCCAGAGTGGCAGGAGGCCCAGAAGACCAAGGCTGTGAAAGCTAAAGTCCGGTCTGACGAAGACGCTCAGGACAAGCAGAACAGGGAGCCCGAGGAGTCAGGTATTAAGAACGGAAAGTACGCTGTGACACCGAGATGTCTTTATGGCTGACCTCTGTTTATTCTGATGAACAAAATGAACTCACTCTTAAAACAACTATTTTCAACAAACAATTTGTTTAATTGATAGGTGAAGAAAGACATTATAACACCGTAAGAAACAATAATACAAACAATTAGGATAATAAATGGGCCAAAACAAATGACACCCAACTCTCCCACAGTTCCTTTTGTCCCTTCCCCCTCTCCCAGTCCTCCCAGTCAAAAATAAACAACAGATAACACTTGTGTAATTATACCAAGAGAGAAAAAGGCACATACATTATGACCCCGGTGTCCTATTATTATTGTTTTTATGATGATTTGAATGATAACGTGCACAGGTTGGGAGAATAAGGTTTCCAGTCCAGGTAGAGCGCTGCCTTCTATCAGAGAGTCCAGGACGTCCTCAGCCGAAAGCGACACACAGTAAGGAAACACCAGCACGCACACTCCAATCAAGTATTTATCTGGTGGTAGAAAAGGTGGATAATTCATGACTTTCATTAAGTTTTTAGTACAATGCAAAAACAATGTCCTTGTACATCATTGTTCTCGTCGATATCCAGTATGTATATATCGTCATCATTTGTTTACATGCTGCTTTCTTCTGACGCCAAACTCTTTTTTTGGCCTTCCAGGATCACAAGTTCTAAACTGGATGGTGACAACTCAGAATATGAGGTCAGTTTCTCCGAACTAAAAAATCTACTTCTACGATTTAACTTATCTCTTTTCATCTTGAGTATTTTTCTTTTGCAGTACTCACAGTGCGTCTATCTCACCTCTGCAGGATGAGCCAGAGCTGTACTTCACCGATCCCCAGCAGCTGCTGGATCTGGTGACAGAGCTGACTGAGCAGAACTTGTCCCTGATTCAGAACTCCACACGGGTGGAAGAGACACTGGAAGACCTCCGACAGACCATGGAGACAACCAGGAAGAAGATGTAAGCATACATGGGTCAAGGGTCAAAGCTCTGTTAGTGTATTTTAGTCGGTTGTCTTGCTTTAAAATGAGCAGACTCTCCTGAACTCTTCAGGTACCTCACTTCAAATATATTCCTTCCTTTTTTTATTCTTTTATTTTTCTACTTCAGTCTGACTTTACAGCTCTATGGTCACAGGAATAAAAACCTGCCTCACTATTATTATTTAAACTTTGTGCATTCATTCTCTCTCTCTGTACACTATTTGCTCCATATCCCCGTCCTCTTTTGAATGCTGAATCCTTTCTGTCTGAAGTGAAAAGGACGAAGAGCAGCTAACACTGCAGATAAACGACATGAACCAGAGAATCAGCAAAGAGAACGCAAGAGGCGCCAAGCTCAAGCAGAAGGTTCAGCTCCACATCTCATTGAACACTGAAGACCAGGTGAGGAAGCAGAATGACAGCCAAGATACAGCACCCAGTGGTCACGTAAGGTGGCATTTCAATCAGGAGAGACCGATTATATTTAATATATTTAGTTGACGTGCACAACAAAGATGAGAAATGTGAATTTGAAGGTGGTTGGGGAAGCCGTGGTTAGTATAGGAATGCCCCCCTGATGAAGTCTAGACACTGATGTTGGTGGCTGTGGTGATGAAGGGATGAAGAGAATGCTGAAGATCTGGATTTGAAGAGGAGTGGACTTCTGATGAGCTCAATCCGGGCGCTTGATATGATGAACTCATGGTGAATGGGGTGGAGGAGGGTCCCAACAATTTCGCACTGAAATGACGGCAAGAGCAACGACATGATTGGCTGAAGGAGATAGTGACAGAGTGTGAGGGAGAAGAGCGAGAGGGAGAATTGTGAATGAATAAGTCTTTCTGATTGAACATGCTGAGCTGAGCTTTTGAGCAGCAGACGTCTGGTCTCGTCAACTCTTATTCCTCTTCCTTTTTTCCCCCTCTTGCTTACAGGATGTCATGCTGGACACTCTGAGCGAGAAGGTGGCAGACGTCCATCGCTGCTGCGTGGATGACAGGATGACCAACCTCAGCACCTTGGAGAAGCTGTCCGATATTGAGAACCATATGTCTTTACTGCTGCAGAGCCTTGAGAGCATCCCCGAAGAGAGGTTAGAGATGATGAAGAAGATCAAGGACAGTGAGAAGAGGAGCAGGTAAGTCTCAGTAACTACTAATGTCAAATGGCAGTGGCTTTAATAATATACTATATTTTTTTAAATCTACTCTCTTTTCCTACGTCGTGTCGCAGGCAGCGTGAAGAAAAGCTGAGAGAGCAGAAAGAGAAACAGAAAGAAAGGATGAGGAGGTACCTGGAAAGATCCCTGGCAGACTCCAAGAAAATAGTAAGCAACTTGCTTAATAGCTGCCTTTTTTATAGGGCACTGCAATTAATCGAAATATTATCAATTATTACAATATGGTCAATATGCAAATTGCAAGAAGCTACAATTCGTTAAGAAAAGGTAAAATGTGCTCTGACCTACAAATCTTGTTCACCAGATGTAAGAAACCGATGTTTTGTTTGGTAGAAACCCCCCCAAAAATTCATATCATCGTGATTTTAATTGTTTTTTCAGGGAAAATTAAAATTGTGATGCAAAAACGATGAGTCCCACACTAATCATCAGTCACATCGTAATCTCAATATGATGTTTTTACCAGCTTGTGCAACCCTATTTTTATACTATTTTCCGAATTTTGTATTCCCACTTGTAAACGTCACAATATCAGTAAATCATTACCACATTTATATTAATGACATCCTCCACTAGTCCACACTGATAAATTAAACCTCATTTTCTTTCAGATTGGGAGAAAGCTCATGCCCAGGTGCATGCCTGTTGCCCAGAAAGTCAGAGTCAGCAATGTGGACAACACCCCTGATGAAGATGAGATCCAAGCCTACCTCTTCACCCCTGAGGACATAGAGTAGAAAAAACCAAGAAAAGAAAATTATGTAAGAAACTAGTGAGATCATGCCTCCAACACAGCAGCTGAGGAGTAAGAATGTGTCATTAGTGGATATTGGGTTGCCTATTACATAAAATATACAAATACAATCAAAGATAATTATGGTGTGCATTAAAATGCCTGAACATAAATATGCATGTGTAAGAGAATTATGTAAAGTACAATAAAGCATTTTGATTTGTCCCTGGTTGTGTTAACTGTTGAATATTAACACTTACTTAATATATATAAGATATATATATATATATATATTATAACATATATACATCAGTGGTTCTCAGATCCGTGTGACTAATGTCAATCTACAGTAAAGTCACATGAATTCTGATAGGACTGTTCACACTGAGGTCACATTGCAATGAATCAAATCTGTATCTGATCTGGACCAATAATAATAATAATAACAATAATAATAATAATAATAAAGATCAGCTTTAATGTGATTTGGACTGTCCACACTGTCTGAACGCATCCTTTGTGAGGTCAGTTGATTCACAGTCATTTAGACATCACAGTTTCATGCTTGTGTCGATGAATTTGACCGAATTGTCAGAGACTAAAACTGAAGACATTTCCTGTGTACTTTTATTTTACTTTAGTTAGTTTTGTAAGTACACAAGAATCACAATCACTTTATTGGCCAGGTACACATACAAGGAATTGGACTCAATGTACAAACACAGACTAACCACAAAAATAAACAGGACAACAAGCTCAACTAAATAGACATAAACTACTATGTACAGTTATACATATATGTGTATGTATATATAAACAAACTAAAAACAATAACATTTGTAGACAGCAGACAAGGTGGCAATGGTACACAGCAACATCCACTGAACCTGAAAACTAGCATTTATTTTTCCACTGTTGAAAGTTTATTTTTTTAAATATAAATTATATAATTTAAATATATCTACCTATTCTGTGCGTACTGCATATACCGTCATATCCACCTACCTCATGTGTACATGAAGAAACCTGCACGTATATTTATTTCAGCATTCTTTGCACTCTCGTCTACTGTCTATAAATGTTATTGTTTTTTTGTTTTTTATGTATGTATAACTGTACATAGTAGTTTATGTCTATTTTGTTTTTATATTTTGACTTAGCATCTCAAAATGATGACTTAGTAAGTCACAATAATGAGAACGTTTCTCATTATTTTGAGTCAAAGTCAAAATATTGAGATACTAAATCATTATTTTGAGAAAGTTTCTCATTATAATGACTTAAAGAATCCTTGTTTTTCCGCATCATATTGGTGGAAATGGGCTTCCGTATACTTACCTTGACCTAAAATAAATAATAATAACATTAATAATATCAATAATAACCATAACTAACTAAAATGTTGTTGACATACTTTACTAACCTTGACCTAAAACCTACAGTCGTGGCCAAAAGTTTTGAGAATGACACAAATATTACATTTTCACAAGGTCTGCTGCTTCAGGGTTTTTAGGTGTTTTTGTCAGATGTTTCTATGGTATACTGAAATATAATTACAAGCATTTCATAAGTATCAAAAGCTTTTATTGAAATTACACTGAGTTCATGCAACAAGTCAATATTTGCAGTGTTGACCCTTCTTTTTCAAGACCTCTGCAATTCTCCCTGGCATGCTGTCAATCAACTTCTGGACCAAATCCTGACTGATGGCAGTCCATTCTTGCATAATCAATGCTTGGAGTTTGTCAGAATTTGTGGGTTTTTGTTTGTCCACCCGCCCTCTTGAGGATTGACCACAAGTTCTCAATGGGATTAAGATCTGGGGAGTTTCCTGGCCATGGACCCAAAATCTTTATGTTTTGTTCCCCAAGCCATTTAGTTATTACTTTTGCTTTATGGCAAGGTGCTCCATCATGCTGGAAAAGGCATTGTTCATCACCAAACTGCTCTTGGATGGTTGGGAGAAGTTGCTCTCGGAGGACGTTCTGGTACCATTCTTTATTCATAGCTGTGTTTTTAGGCAACATTGTGAGAGAGCCCACTCCCTTGACTGAGAAGCAACCCCACACATGAATGGTCTCAGGATGCTTTACTGTTGGCTTGAGACAGGACTGATGGTAGCGCTCACCTCGTCTTCTCCGAACAAGCTTTTTTCCAGATGCCCCAAACAATCGGAAAGGGGATTCATCAGAGAAAATGACTTTACCCCAGTCCTCAGCAGTCCAATCCCTGTACCTTTTGCAGAATATCAGTCTGTCCCTGATGTTTTTTCTGGAGAGAAGCAGCTTCTTTGCTGCCCTTCTTGACACCAGGCCTTCCTCCAAAAGTCTTGCACTCACACCTGCCTGCTGCAAGCTCTGCACTGGTGGTGGTCCTGGCGCTTGCTGGACTTTCTTGGGTGCCCTGGAGCCTGTTTGGCAACCATTGAACCTCTCTCCTTGAAGTTCTTGATAATCCGATAGATGGTTGACTGAGCAGCAATCTTACTAGCTGCTATAAACTTCCCTGTTAGGCCCTTTTTGTGCAACGCAATGACGACTGCACGTGTTTCCTTGCAGGTAACCATGGTTAACAGAAGAGGAACAATGATGTCAAGCACCATCCTCCTTTTAAAGTGTCCAGTCTGTTATTCTAACTCACTCATGACAGATTGATCTCCAGCCTTGTCCTCATCAACACCCACACCTGTGTTAACGGAGGAATCATTGAAATGATGTTAGCTGCTCCTTTTGTGGCAGGGCTGAAATGCAGCGGAAATGTTTTTTTGGGGGGATAAAGTTCATTTTCAAGGCAAAGAGGGACTTTACAATTAACTGCAGTTGAGCTGATCACTCCTCATAACATTCTGGAGTATATGCAAATCTCCATTATAAAAACTGAAGCAGCAGACTTTGTGAAAATTAATATTTGTGTCATTCTCAAAACTTTTGGCCACGAATGTACATAAAAAAATGACCATAAAGGGCCAGCAGGTGGCAATGTCAAGCATCCAGTGTGTGTGTGTGTGTGTGTGCTCTGTCATCCACCGCAGAGGAAGGAGGATGAGGAAGTGGCTGCAGCCCTGTGGAGATGTGTCTGTCTCCAGTGAAGCAGCAGCTGTCAGCAGGACATTAAGCAGCTCGGGCAGCCAGATAACAGCACATCTTCTGACAATGCGATGGGTAACTGCTGGGCACAGTGTGTCGGGCTCTTCAGGAGGGAAGCCAACCGGATCCAGAGAGGAGGCGGGTGAGTTAAGTAAGAAACAAAAAGGAAAGCTAGGCGAGCTAACTGTTAGCATTTCAAAAAAAAAAAAAAAAAAAAAAAAGGGAAAAGTATCCGGTTACTTGCTGCTAACGTTAGCTCGAAGTTGGAGAGCCGATAACACTTCAGTGTGTTAGTCTGGTGTAACCCGGGGGGGTCCTAACCTGCAGCCACACAACACAAATCAAGACCCCACCCCTTATTGTCACCAGTCGGGACCTGTAGTTCAGCATAAAGGCTGATCCAGGGTTTGTTTGAAGGGTTTTATTAATGATTATAGATCAATATTTGTCTTCAGTCTCAACCCTGGTGCATGTGTTAGATCCAGCTCTCTGTGTTTGTGCAGGCCCTTATAATGTCACCAAATGTAATGTTAATAATTTATGGTTTTTATGGGAGGATTTATTTCTCTTCCAGCAGCAACATGTTTCACACTCTTTTCCTCAGTTTTCACTGATTGGAGCTGACAAGTACTAGCTCTCATATAAATATAAAACATGTATAATGTAATATTTTTTATTACATATTGTTCTTACAAGTCTCTGTTTTTATGTTTTTAAATGTGTGCACGTATTTGTTTTGCCTCTTTTACAGACTTGCTGTGCACTTTAGTTTGTTCTGCTCTCTGGTGGTTTTAAATGTGCTGTATTAATACATTTTATTTATTTAGCTCAGGTTTTAACCATCGTAAAATGAAACCATCTGGTTTTGTTCTACACTTAATACGCTGTTGGAGAAAGAAGGATATAACATAAACAAGAGATTGAACATCCTAAAAACTTTATTAAATCTTAACTTTATCAAGGACATAATGAAAATAATAATATATTATTAAAATAATTAATAAGTCAGTTATAGTGATGTAACAATACACCGAACAATTGTCTCGTGATATTTTTTAACACTATGAGATTGAAGACAAATTATAACATTTCACAATCATTTTCTTTATCAGATTATAGAAGTTTTGAGACCTCGATTTAATCTCACCAATTTCAATCTTCACATATTTTTAACAATCTTTTATATATATTTACATTCCCGGTCAGTTATGTCACAAAACCCGTCCAACCGCCAGCTGTGAAGTCACTGCGAGTGCAACTTGCCTCAAGGTTTCAGACAAAAAGAGATCAATGGACCAGTTTCACTGCAGACATTTTGACATGTGATGGCACAAAACACACAGTTGTCATCAATATTGTTAATTATGGCTGCATTCTCTGTAGGCGAGCCTCTTCCACGGTCCTCGTATTCACTTTCTAAGACTGAAGCATCATTAACAATCCTGCTGTCACACGTCAAAATATCTGAAAAAACAATTAAGCCATTAACTCTTAAATGCACACATTCCTACATACCTTGGATCTTTAGAGATTCCTTATTTATTTTTCAAAGGTCAAGCTACGAATTAAAATACATCCATGTAAACATATTGTCAGGACATCAATAATAAACCCACAAAACAGGTTTTTGGTCATTAATGAAAGTCATTGACTTTTTTTCCCAAGCATTTTTAAGATTCCAAACTTATTTACTACTTTAAATGTAGGCTATTACATGAGATGTATATATACAAATTGTACTGTGTCTCACACACACACACACACACACACACACACTGTGATACTGTAGCTGCCCAATTACTGACACCAAACCAAATTAGTCAGCACAGTAAAATCACAAGCTACAGTTTTGTGGTAATTGTAGCATGGCTGTGTACACTGTGTTACTCACACACACACACACACACACACACACACACACACACACACACACACACACGGAGGAAGCGAGTGGATCTGGAGGAAATATTTGCTGAATATGAAAACCAGTTTACTGGATTATAATAGTTACCGCGCCTTTTAATTGTTTAAGCCATCGTCTACTTTTTACTGTCTAACATTACAGGTGTGTTAACGCTCTCTTATTATTCATGCAGGTCAAAATATTTCCGAAGTAGTACCACGGGGGAGCATTACACAATAGAGGTATGAGTCGTAATTGTAAAAACAAATGTAATAATGACGATTCAGTATAATATTATTTGTCTAATTCTGACTTTTAATTTTGCAGTTTGAAAATCTGGTAGAGAGCGATGAGGTAAGTCTGATCTTCCTGATGTGTGTTAGAGCCTTTCAGCAAATTAGTTTAAGGAAAAAAAAACATTGTCAGTGAGTTTTCTCTCAACTGTATTATTGCTGTGTAGGAACCAATTAAATTGTAATAGACTCGAGTATAAGACGTAGGTCTGATTAAAAGCTGAATTATGCTGGTTCTCCCAGGGTACTTTTTACTGTCAGACTCCCATTAGCCATCCTCCACTGATGGATAGAAAATGATGGGTGCCCCAATGCGCACCCATCATTGTGGTACAGCAGTCAGGGAGTAATTCGATTACTGTCTGCAGAGTCCCAGACTAGTAGCACTTGAGTCAAACAGTGCAGCGGGGAAGATGCATTTCACATTGCTGTTTGGTAAGATTTTGTTTGTTGCTTTGCAGGCTGAGAGTCCACAGCCCTGCCCGAGGTAAGAGACCTGCTGTGAACCTTAAAAAACATAATCACGAATATTCCTTCATAAAAATAGTGTTTTTAAAAAGAGCAGTTTGCCTTCAAGTATGTTTTATTTCTTTTATAAGGCCCATCAGTGAAGATGAGATCCAGCACCTCAAGGAGCACCGCTACACTGCTATCACAGACAAACAGAGGCTGATAGACCAGAAGCTGCAAGTGGAGGTAAGACAAACTTCTAAAAGAGCATCTTTAAAGGTCTTTGTTAGATTAACAGTCCCCGTTATTTCATTTTTATGTTTAAGACATATTTTTGCTTATTTTTAATTTGCTTGCATTGTTTTTTCTGTTTTGTAATTTTCTGTTCTGTGTTTTTGTGTTTGTTTCATTTTTGTTATTTCTGCTTCAGTTAGAGGCACAAGAGGAGAAGTTAAGGCTAGAAGAAGAGGCTAGAAATGCCGCCCAGCGTGAGGCCGCCAGGTTGGCACGTGAACGCAAATTGAAGGAGGTGAGGCGGCACTGAGCGCTCCCTTCTGCCAGTTTGACTTACTGCTTGGCTAAAACAACTTCTCCTCTAACCTGCTGGCCCTGTGCAGAGGCTTCCCAGCAAGTCCTCAGCCTCCTTTTTGTCCTCATTAACAAGTCCTTGTTGTCCTGTCGGGGATATTGTTGTCTGTTTCAGTGCTTTCTTTCACCTGACAAACAACTTCTTAGCGTTGTAAGCATTCATAGTAATCCTTTAGACACATTATAGCTGCAATGGAACAAAGCTAATTATAAATATTTCCATCACTTTATCTTAGAGAAGCAGAAGAGACACATTTATTTTACTTCGGGATGGAATAACATCCAGTAAATGATGTGTAATATACAGCAAGGACCAAGTGGTGCCAATAGACATAAAACTGGGCATTAACCTTATTCATAAGCACAAGCAGTGAAAGGAGGAAAAGATGAAGCCCACGTGGCAAATAATATCATTATTTTTGCCTGGCTTTTATCATCACCGAATAGAGAAATGTGGATTATTGGCATATAATGGTCTTGCAGTGAGGTCAAAATCATGGCTATATCTTTCCTATACTGTTTCAGAAAAAGGCCTCCTGCAGGAAAAACTGTTTTTCATTTACTTTTTATAATGAAAATGGGACTGTTGTAAAAGATTTACATATTTCTTTGCTTCTCATTCAACATCCCACTGCTTTTTCTGGTGTTGTTTTGTTAAAGTTATTTGCTCACCTTTCCTTAATAACACTGAATTTGTTCAATGTTTTTTATTAATATAGTCTGTGTTTTATTCATGGGGAGATATGATCTTTTTTCTTGATCTGTGGTTTTATTGTTAGCAGCTGTCTGCCCAGAGGAAACGGGGCAAAGCAGATGGCTCCGGCGGTGAAACTCAGCAAAGAAAGTGAGTCACTTAAGTTCATTAGACAACGGGATTGTTGTTTAGCTGAGGACAAGCTGCGGTCATGTGGTTCTGCGTAGATTTTAGTAGGTACTAAAGGAGACATACTTTATAGACCGTAGTGCTGGATGTATTTAAAGGGATCTTAAGTATTCATTTTTTAAGCTCTAAACAGAAACATTGATTTAATAATGTGAGCACACTGTTTGACCCTGCAGTCTCGCAGTGTGTAGGCTGCAGAACAGATATTAAAGCACTACAAGGTATCCGGTCTCAGAATTCAATGCTTAACTAAATCTTCACTGTGCCAGAAAGGAGCTACAAGCGCACAGAGCTGAGCGCAGTATTTAGCTCTTGTCTCATCCAAATTTAAAGAACAGTTATCAGAAAAACCTCTAGCAGGAGGTCAAAGCTATGAGTTATGACTTACGGTTACTGTTATTGTTGTGTTGATTGTTGTTATGGCCTGTTCCAGACAAACCTCAGGGGAGGATTTTGACGTCCACCTGCAGAATATAAAAGCCCAGTCAGAGGCTTTTAGGAGTAACAGTAAGTGAACCATCAAGCCTTGATTATATTACTATTAATATACAGGTATACATACATTTGTTCATAAGCTCAGGGTATACTGCGTTTGCATGGAAAGGTACAAACGTAACATGCACAATAATTGCCTCTTTGTTTCCAGGACTGCCCTCTGACACCAACGTGGTGACTCCAAACACAGAGTGCAGCTGGGACTTCACCACCAAGACTCGCTCCACCAACGATGACGGGACCTCACTGGATCTAGAGTGGGAGGACGAGGAAGGTGAGAGTTACATTTTCAGCTCAAACTGGAAAGCAAAGTTCTCTTGCTGAGCTGTTGAGTCTTTCCTTTGACTCTTCAGCTACAAAGATGAAGTAGTTTTTGGTCTGTCTCAAATCACTGATCCATTAAACATTTGATTGACGCCTGACCAACTCAGAGCTTTCTCTGCCTCCAAACCAGAGCTCCTGGTTATTTCTCGGCCAAGACTGATTCTGTTTTTCAGTGACACTGCAGCAAAGAGGAGGAGGAAGAGGCAGAACAGGCCATTTGTGCACAGTGCAACCACTATATCACATATGTATCAATCCTTCTTTAAAAGTCACATCCAAATGTATGAATAACATTTGTGAAACAAGTCAGTATGTAAGATTTCTTGGTCGCTATCCAGTAGCTAATCCGAATTGTGGATTCTCGGGTGGTCTTCCTTTAGCCAGTGCTCAAGGGGAGCTATAGTATGACTTAAATACTTCTGGAAATAGAGTTTCGGAGTTCAGACATTCAATGCGTGCATTTTCCTCTTATCTGACTCCTGACTCCTGAGGAATGCATCCTTCACAGCTGACAGGATTTTCACATCCAAACATCAGCAGTAAAATCTGCTGATCTTAGTTTATTGGGCCGTTTTTTGGGCACCGGTCTGTTTATTCATTTCGTCTCGGTCATCTTTGTGCTGTTGCCAGACTGTGGGGATGTCACTGAGTTGTATTTTCCTCCTGATGTGTCAGTTGGAACAAAAGTGTTCAAATTTTCCTGCACGTCAGTATGTAAAGGAAAACATGAATCAGCAACTATTTTCAGCAATATGTGTTTTCTTTTCACGTCAATTTTGTCTATTAAAACCCACTTTCTCTATTATCTATTTCATTTTAATATAATTTACAAAGGGCTGTTGGTATTATTATGCATTGTTCAAAAGCAGGGCACTCTGGGACTGTGTGTCCCCCTTTGGCTTCATAAGGGCTGCTATACTTTACGGCTCATGGCACTTTCTTATTTTTTCCCCACTACTACTTTTCTTGTATTACAGCCTGATGGATATAAATGGTCAAGTCAGCGCTCATTGTAAGATCCTATATACATATATAGCATCTAAGTTAGGTTCTATTCAATCCATACAAATACAGTTAAATGTAGTTTGTAAAGTTTTAATCTTGGATTAGTCTTGAGTAGAAACAGATTTCTTTGATTCTCTCTGAAGCACCAGATCACTGCCCGCAGCAGTTTTCTGACTTTAGTGAATTCTGCTGTCAGAATAAAAGCTTGTGTCCTCGTGCCACAGGAATCAATCGTGCACTTCCGGTCTGGGAGAGGTCTCGGACGGAGGAGGACATCCTGCGTGCAGCCCTGAGGCCCGGCAGCAAGCAGATGAACAGCGGCCCGACCTCGGCCTCCGAAGACTCCAACGCGCTGGAGTGGGAGAATGATTTTGTGAGTACGCATCCAGAGGACAATGCAGACACTGAATTTCAAGGGTTTGTCAATCCTGTCCTAGACACTCCCTCTGAGGACACCTCGGACCGTGGCCTCAGGTTGGACAACCAGGACAGATAGTGTCTAGCACCAAAGGAGACGTTTGTTTGTGTGTTCTCTTCATGTCAAAGCTCACCAGCTTTTTGCCTCATGAAATGGAAATGTACTTACTTTCTCTTCATATTCTGTGATATGAGACGCTGATGCTGCGGGAATATGTTGTGCATCTCTACACTGCAGTACAGTGTGGAGATGTATTTAATCAAACACTCATTCTTTCAGTGCCTTCATTTGCCAAATTAGCCGACCATTTTATGCATTGTAACTTGAACTGATCAGTTTCCATCCATTACCATTTGACACATTGTTCAGTGAGTGCTTATTTTCAATGCACAGTGCTCTGATGACCTCACAGAAGCTGCCAAGCTACGCTGAAATGAAAAAAAGCAGATGGCTGCTTTTTTGAATTGTTGTCACTTATGGACGTTTTTCACTGGTTGGTGGGTGGGGGGGAGTGAGTCATGGAGTGTAACTTATGAAGTTACGTTGTGTTTTTTAAAATCCCAGCAGGGAAATTTGTCCTCTGCATTTGACCTGTCCGAACTATTTAGCAGCCACAGTGCAGTGCCTGGAAAGCAACTGTAGTTCTGAGGCCAGTACCTTGGTCAGTGGTCAGCATGTCTTTAAGTGTATTTAAAAAAGAAAAAAACACACACACACAAACTACAGAAAAAATATCCTCACACAGCCCTCAGTTTCTCTACTTAGGTTCAGCTCTGCCTTTCAGTTGTATAGAGTTATTGCATGATGGCAAAAGAGGAACTGAATTCCACATAAGGGTTGCTTATGAAAAGGTACATTATACTAAACTGTTTTGATGAATCAGAATAATAATACCATCACTGTTTCTACATTTGAGCCTGGACCGAGGATTTGGGGGGAGTTGATGGGGTATTTATCATCAATTTTCTTCTGAATCTTGGATTGATTGCACAACAACAGTGATCTATAATAAACACAGCTTATGCATGGGTGCGTAGCCTAATATGATGCAGAGTAAAAAGGCCAATCTGGGCTCTACCAAATGTTACTCTGACTGGAATTAAGGCATTTTCTGATATTTTATGAAACAAACAAACAGGATAACTCCTCAAAACCACGTTCATATCTGATTTAAATTTGTCCACCTCTCAGAGCTAACAGGCTCGTATTCATAAAAAATAAAAATAAAGAGGCCCAAGCATGAAAACACTTTCACTGTCCCTCAGTAATATGCTCAATTTTCATTAGTGAACATCTAACAAGAGACTTTTTTATAAAACAACATAATTAAGCACATACAATGATTCCTCTATATAAACCCAATGTCATTTTTTTTTTTTGGACTCTTAGATTTTATTAAAAGACCTTTTTTTTATGTCAAAACCAATAGCACAGAACAGCAGAATCATTGCCAGGCACCATGACGTCCTCAACACATACATTATATATCATGGATTCTCAAGGACAGCAGCTCTTCATGCAGCTCAACATAATTTGCATATAATTGTCCTTGATTTGCAAAAGCATAAAGCAAAAAGAAGGTAAATGAGATTTTAAGTGGTGAGGATGAGCAAACCAGCAGCCAGGTTCCTTATTCCAACAAATATTTAAAACTCTAAATCACCGGCTTCTAAACTGCACATCTTTTAAAGGTCCAGTGTGTAACATTATATGAGGCTCTGTTGGCAGAAACAGAATTTAATATTCATAGATGTGTTTTAATTTGTGTATAATCACCTGAAAATAAGAATCATTGTGTTTTTGTTTCCTGAAAATGAGTGAAAATGTTTATATCCACAGACGCTGCGGGTCGCCTACAGTAGCCCAGAACAGACAAACCAAACGCTGGCTCTAGATTGGGCTAATTTAGTTTTTTGCGTGTTTTGGAGCACCATAGTTTTGCCCTAACGGTTGGAAATGGAGGGCGAAACGATGCCCCTTTATCCTAAACACTGGACCTTTTTTAAATGCGATTTTTAAATGTAAAAATCTCTGGTTCAGGAGTTGCCACACTAGCCTGAACGGTATGAAACAATATGGAAATGAAAAAACTGTAATTAGCAATAATTTGATGGCACTAATTCTGGATGTTATTCTAGATCTAACTTCATGTGATACGTCTCAAATCTAAACAACTGGAGTGAAATAATTTTACTGTTAATGTGAATAGTTGCTCTGAAATACAGGGGAATAATTGTAGAATATAGAATAGGTGGGACAATCTTCACTAAAAACTAAAATCACTCCCTTTGCCACCTTTAAAAGAGACTTGACTGATTTCCGAATCATTGCTGGCATTTGGTGTATTTAGGAAACAAATCTTGTGTAATGACTTTTGATTTAATCTGATATGAAACTTTCATGAATCATAATCTGATTGTTGTTCACTGCTAATATTATAAGCAATATTTTGTGGAGTCTGGATGGGGGAAAAAAAGATCAAGGTTACCAAACATGCAAACATGACTCAGTGGTGTAAACTTTGTCATGTTGCTACAATTGATCCAACGCTGCTGTATACATTGTTCCAGTTCTTGTTGCGTTACAGTTTTATATCCTGATATTTTGACCCATCACGTACGGTCGAGCATGAGTTGAAACGATAGTGTTTCTTGCATTTATTATTTAATCTGTGTGAATCAAAAGTAGTTTACTGATTGCACTGCAATGTGTGGATTTTTAATTTGGTGTTAGCAGCTCATAGGAGACATTCACTGAAATGATTCACTTGTTTGAATAGGAAACTGATCGGACACACGTGCACTACTGTAGAAGTGTGTAGACGAGACACGGCTTGATTTGCTTGAGTGTGTAATTTAAAAATAATATTGTTTTGAGCACATTTGAATATTATGTTTTTTGCTGTGATTACGTGATCTCTGATTAATCACTGTAATTTTCTGTAAAAAAAAACAAAACAAACGACAACAAAAAAACCTGTATCTTCACATTCCTTGTCACACCGAGCCTAAGAGAAAAGAAATAAAATGTAATAGAGAAATGTATCGGGCATCCCATACACTCACTGTAATGACCAAGTGTACACGAGGTATCATCACCTTAATGTGAGCTGCTGCTGGAAGTCAGTTGTTTCTGTGTCAATGTTTGAGTGTTTTTTTAGCACACTTACCGAAAGTACAAGACTTTAGCGCCAGGACCTCAAACTGCCGGCCCTCCCTGAGAGCACAATCCACCTTTTTTTCTTATCATATCGATTTAATCTACTCTTTCACATACAATTAAAATAAAAATTCTGTTTGAGTTTGAGACCCCTGATTTATAGAACCACAGGCAGCACCCATCCTAATACAAATCACAAATCTACACTCTGAACTTAAAAAGTAGATCTCTGGATGTTCTACAAAGCTGAACTAGAGGTACATGAATCCTAAGACGAGAGTTGGGTCTACCTCTGCTTTATACACTGCACTGAGTGTGTTTCTTTGTCACAGCTCCACTGGTTGAACATAGATAGCACTGCTGTGGGTCAGGGCTCCCTTGAGTCCCAGTGATACTGTTAATAAAACTGTAAGCCTGTTCACACTGTACAGCTAATTATTTTTTATAAAAGTTAGTTCTAGTATCTTATTTGTAGTATTTGCTCATTTCTATAATTCCCAGAATGATATGACTTAGTCACGGGACAAACAACCAAATAACCTCCTTAATGTATGCTGAATGTATTTACTGTATCTCCTTTAAAGGTCCAGTGTGTAACTTTTAGGAGGCTCTATTGGCAGAAATGGAAAATGATATTAATAGATATGTTTTCATTAGTCTATAATCACCTGAATATAGGAATCATGTTTTCATTCCCTTGATATGAGCCGTTTTTATCTACAGACACCTTGGAGCGCCTTCCGTCCACCATGTTGAACCGGCTGTAGATTTCTGGCTATAGATGGGGCCTTTCGCATTTCTCTTTCATAGTTTTTCGTACACACTTCACAACCCGTTCTCATTCCCAGGACGTCGAGTATAGATGCGAGCGGTCAGTTGCAGTCTGAAACTTCACCACTAGATGCCACTAAATGCTCCACACTGGTCCTTTAAAGGCATGCTACACAGTTCAATTTTAGCTTTTGGGTGGGGAAGCGTGCTGTTTGAGGCTCTCAAGTAAATAACAAAAAAAGGACAAAATGATGCAAAGAATAGATGGAAATAGCTGAAAGGAAACTAGATTTTTCAGTACATATGATACGGTACATATATACTGTTTACAAAGAGTTGATTCAACACATTCACAGACTGTTTATCTTACTGATATTCTGGTTTTCACAGCACACAGGTCATGCAGCACAGACTCATTTTAAGTTTTTTTTCTGGCCGAGCAACACACTTTTTAAAAATGTATTTAAGCTTTATAAGACCTTAAGAACAAATTCATATTTACAATGGCTGCCTGGGTGACAGGAGACACATTTCCATGCAACCAGCAGCCGGCAGCATTAAAAGATCTTTTTCTTCTTCAACCTTTTTTTTTTACAGTCGTAGTGGAGCAGGCCAGTGCTCCTCCGTCTGAGGTTTTTGGAAGCGTCGCTTTACTCTAGTTGCTTCAAGATGTAGGAATGCGCTGTTGATAATCTGTATTAAATTTCACAAAACTAAATGTCCCCTTTGCTGGTCTGTGTTTAAACTATAACAGTGATTCAACTTCCTGTCAGTTCATGGAAGCGTTACTCAGTAGCTGTCCCGAACAGACTGTGCCTGGTAAAGCTCTGCTGTGAACAGGAAGTGATACATTTCATATTTCTGGATTTTGAAGTAAGTAGAGTAAGGCTTGTGTGATTATGTGTGATTGCCTAATTTTGTTTTTGATTTAAAATGTGTCTCCTGTCACCTTCTCGATCGCTGATTATTCACCTGTTTGATCACCAGTCAATCAAACCAGGTGACCTCTGGGATGTGCAGCGAGTAAACTCCTCACTGATGACAAAATGAACAAGCTGAACGTAGTCAAACCTGCCGAATGTGTTGGATAATCCAATGATGATTTATGATTTATAAGTGTATTTACAGTGCTGCCCAAAGTTTACCTGCCATAAGGTTAGATTTGACCTGCCAGATGATTCTAACAAATATATATATATATATCATATAAATCACTTTTTATGTGGTTTTATTATTTGTGAGTAAAGTGTAGTCAGAGTGTGTAGTGTAGTGTAAGTCAGTCAGTTAGGGAAACTTGGGATCCTAATACCATTTTGCATCTACAAGTGCTTTATTATTATTTATTTATCTATGTTTGGGCTCCTCTGGTTTATTACTTTATCACGGGTTACAAAAATGTGTAATAAAACCGACGGTAATAATGTTACAACTTGGAAGAATGCGTCAAGTTGTTAGATTATTCAATATGTTTAATACATCGGTAAAGTAACAATACATTTAAATGTGGTGTTTTTAAGTTTGGTTCACAGTTACTACAAGTTTTTTCTTGAATGAGACCAAAAAAAAAAAAAAAGTATCTTCTGTATCTTCACCTGTCCATTGACAGAGAGTTTGTCCCAAAACTAGAATAAATTGTGCACATGTATAAAGAACTGTATAACGGTGGATTTTTGGAGGGAGGCGGGTTGATTTTTATTTCTTTACATGTTTGTGACTGAACAGCTTTACAAGATGAAATGTGCAGCTCGGACTTCTCTGTAAATAAAAGTTGTCTTTGCATATTTGCATTGTCATGGCATTTCTTTGTTCCACTGCAGGAGATAATGAAGTGGAACCGGTAGATATAGACGACAGATTATTGTACATAAATGAGTAAAATATTTGAGTACTCGATACCAGAGTATGTATGAGCGTAATAATCGTCTCACTGTCGCTAAATCACCGTTCATTGTGAATATTTAATTGGATCAATATAAAGTGTGAGCTGCAACACTGTGATGTTGTTTTAAAAATAGCCTCTAATCGATTCTACTGGTTGTATTTGAACAGTCTGACTTCTTTCAGAGGCTGATGTGTAATGGGGGGGGGGCAGTAATAGAAGGACATGTTGTAGATTTAAAAGTAAACAGAGCTTTGTCCTCATGCCTGGATCAAATATTAACCTGGTGTGAGTGTGATTAAAGGGTTAATAGATGCGTTTGGTTGTCGTGGTCAGTTTATAAAGCACATACACCAACTGATTGGAGCGAATCTGGCTTCAAAATAAACAGGCACATAAGTCGTGGTGTGTAGTTGTTCCTGTAATAGTTGATATAATGATGACACGCAGTCTGATGAGCTCAGTCTGTGTAATCCACATTGACGTAAAAGGTCACAGATGCTTTGTGTTTATAATTATGAGCATTTTTCTTTGAACAGGACCAGTTCTTTCCATCAAAAACCCTCTGCCCTGACGTAGTAGCAAACGGTAAACCTGCTCCAGTTCGTGCGACCACAAACTAATGTCTGCACAGTGGCGTTCATCCACCTTTTACCAGGAACATTCAGTATATGTGTTTGATGAAAACGTCAGCAGGAAAGGCTCATACACATGGACGCTGGTGAATTACAGGTCTTTTTAAATACATGTATGTAAGATTTAACAGGCACTTTACATATTTCAAATTTTATTGCCTTTAAATAATAAATTAAATCTATAGAGTGAGAGCTTATGAGAATAAATTCACCTTTAAATGAAGATTTTCACTGTTACCTGAAAGTTTCTTTCAATGCAGGAAAACACATCTATGTTCTTAGGAAATTAAATATGTTATGATATTGTTTTTTATTAACTTTGCTAATCTTAAACTTACCTACAAATGTCTCCATAACCTCAGTGAACTTGTGGTTCCACGTAAAGCTTCAGGCTCAGTAACACGTGGAGCATCCAATGGGAACTTTAAGGTGCCTTCACTGTACGTAAAAACAGCCTTTTTCTGATGTTTTATGCTTTAATGTTTATGTTTTAATTACTTTGTGTCCTGTATGTTTTCTTTCTGAGTCCTGTGTGTTTTGTAATGTCTGTTTGTTGAGTTTAATGTATTTTAAAGGTTCATCTAAGGACAGACATTGTAAATCAGAATCAGAAATACTTTATTGATCCCCAGGGGGGATTTGTTCACTACAGTTGTTCCACTCACACAATATTTAAAACAATACACACACACACACACACACACACACACACACATATATATATATATATATATATATAGTAAAATGTAAAAATAAAGAGATATAATAAGAGCCTACCATACGAAGTACATGTAAATCTAAACATGAGTGTAAACATATTCCACCATATGGCTGATAGAAATAAATAGTAATGAAAGTAAATTAGGAAAGTTACTTAAGTAAGTTAAGTAAATTAACTTAGGCTATAAATGATGTGGTGTGTCCCTAGACAAATAGGTCTGAGGAGGAATCAAGAAAATAATTAATTAATCATTAATTAAACTTTATTAAGCTTTTTCAAGTAACAAACATCATCAGTGGAAATGGATGCTAAGCATACCTAACAATAAATCCATCCAAGCAGCATATATTAACAGAAAAGGAGAGATAAAAGGAAAAAAACTAAATAATAAAATGTAACTTAACTTAAAAGGTTTAATTAAAATACAACACAAGTAGTTTAGAGAGTCTTAAGCCACTTCTCTGTTCCCCAGTTGTCTTAAAGATTTACTCATAAATACCTGACATGATGCTTGTAAATATACTTTAACTCAAAGCTGTGTGCAGGCTGCCCACTAGTGATTGAACATGAACACTGCGTCTCATTTGCACTCTGAAGACTCTGAATGAAGAAGACTCTCCCCAACATTATCCTCACCAGGAGAGCAGCGGTGCAAGGACCCGGGGTGTGGGGAACAGCAAACCCCTATTAGGTTGTTTAATTAAAATTAAACGGATTAACAACAGCAGGGGTGGGCGGGCGGGTGGGTGGAGGAGGGAGAGACTGGTTGAAGCTACGAAGAAGTGACTACAAAAAGGACAACAATACACAACAGACCGCAGTGCTCCAGACTGAGTGGAGCCAGCTAACTTGTGAGACGTTTCCAGAGCCGCAGCACGACCACCGTAAGAATCCCTACTTTCATACACTGAAATATTAAAAAATAAATTGTAGTTGTTTTTTTTTTTTTTTGCCTGCTGGTGCTATGTTGTGACGTTGACGAGCCGTGCTAATCTTTCTATAACTGTCAAAAGTGTAAAAAAAAAAAAAAAAAAAAAGTTAATTTGGGATTATTTTCTTGCAAAGCGAGTGTTTTTTTAAATTATTTTTTTAAAATCCATTAAATATACTACTTTTCTTACAGCTCATATATTGGTAATATTTTTATAATAAATATAAATATTCCCTATTCTACTTTAGCTGTAGCACCAAAGCGAGCACTACTTTATCAAAGTGTGTGTGTAGGGGGGGGAGAGGCGGAGTGATACGCACTCCGCCTCTCCAGTCTACTTGTGTCCCGGACTCTGGAGGACATGGCACGGGGGAGACGGAGGAGAAGAAGCGGTGGAAAAACGAAAAGATAAATATTTAACAAAGTTGGGAACTTAACCGCTTACAAAAAAAAACAACAACAACAACAACAACAACAACAACAACCTACGACTATAATGGCTTGCGTGCGTTGCTAAGGAGGTATGTGACTATAAAAAGAGGTTAAGAAGGAGAGGGAGGAGGGGGGGGATATATTTTTAATTGTGCTTTTAAAAAGTGGTTCTCCGGCGAGCTAACGCACATCATACCGGGGGGGTGGTGGTGGTGGGGGGGGGCGGCAGAGGCTCACTTTCCCCTCGGCGGAGGGCTAGGCTAACCAGCTAGCATGTAGCTTTTAGCTTCGGCTGTGAGAAGTTCAAAAAAAAAAAAAAAAGTTTGTGGAATGGAGGAAGAGGAGGAAGAGGAGGAAAGGGTGAAGTAAGTTCGGCTAACCGTGAAGAAGTGTGGATAGAGGAAGGTTGTGTGTGTTTAAAAAGTGTGTTTTTTATTATTTATTTATTTATTTAAAACAACTGTTTTTAAAGTAGCCGTTGATGAGGGTTGTTTGTTTCCAACGGCTGTTAGGTTTGAGCTTGGTGTTAGCTCATGGCTAGTTAGCACATTCTCGAAGGGGTTGCTCGCTAACAAACCTAAAAGAGAGAGAGAGAGAGGAGGTGTGTGTGGGGGGGTAGCTAATGTTAATGGCACTGAACAGTAAAAGGGTTGTATTGTGACTGTTTCCCCTTGGTACAGTTAAATCAGAGGAGCAACTAAAAGCTATTTTTTTACTGTTTTTCTTTAAGGGGTTTGTGTAACGTTAGATGCGTCTTTCTCTCTTTCTCTGGGTGGTGCTGCTGCTTCCATGTTTGTCCCCTGTGTTTTCTCTCTTGTCAGGCGGTTTGTTTGACATGTTTTCACTCAGTAAAAAGCAGAATATTGTTGTGGAGTTTCTCCTGTGTTTGTAGATCTTGTTTAAAAGCGAGAATGACGGAATTCATTAGTTTTTAACTGGGGCCAAACTGATCAACAGCTAACTCATGAACTGTGTTGGACTATTGAGTCGTAAACTGTAATTTATTACTCTTTTTAAAAGTAATATTACTTTACTTATCACTCCTTGTCCAAAAAATAGTTAGTTACACTACTAGTTATATAGCTTTCACCCTTAAATTAGTAGCTAATTGTGTCATTTTGCCCCAAAATTCAGACATATATCGATTAAAATCAATTTTTGTTTGTTAAAATAAAAGTAATTTGAGTATTTCCAGCTGCGTTTCCAATTTTAACTAATTATTTTTGTTGGGGGGGAGTAACTAATATTATTACTGAAATGTATTAGTAATTACTTACACTACTAGTTACTGTGGGGATGTTATATTATTGGCTGTAATGAGTTACTGCCGATGAAAGCCAATATAACTGCGATGTTGGGTGGTTTTTGTTGTTGACCTAACAGGCATGGGACAATATTAAAATGTTATGTTTACCAAAATGATTACAACACACAATATTACCATGATAATCACAAAACCATGCTTTCCATACCCTACATGCATAAATCAGACAATTAACAATACATTTATCTGAATGTTTTAGTTTTTTTATCTTGATAATAATGTATATCGTCCGAACCCTACTACCACCTCCAGTTTGTTTCTTTTCTAATTATTATGGAGTGATTTGGGCTTTTTGGAAAAGGATTATTGATTCTCATCATCATGATTATATCCCATGGTCACAGCCTCCTGGTATCTTATCTCCACTATCCTCTGCCCTTAAACTGTTAAAATGTTGGAAAATTGTTCATGGATTCTTCTTTTTTTTTTTTGGATATATGTGAATAGAAAGGCTATTCATAGGACTGCGTTTAACATACAAAATATGTAAGTCATACTCTTTGTTTTTAGTTCACATATAACGTCAGGAATTCTGAGGAGGAACGACTGATGATTTGTGTAAGTCGGACCACAAAACCTTTCTTCAAACAGAATTACAGTTAATTTAGACGATGATTAGTCAATCAAAATGTAAAAAATGTATGTCCGGTCACGATTGATTTGATTTTGAGCCTTTGATGGTGAATACACAAAGAGCTATCAGTGCGAAGCGCTATCAGTTCGTAGAGATGATCGGCTTTATCTGAAGGGTTAGTCATTGAGATGCAAATCAGCTTTTGTAGTTGTCCGTTCAGGCAAGTTATATCCACATCCAACAATAGTTTCTGCTTGTTTCAGGAAGATCTGATCTGCCCTTATGTTGAAATCTGTCACTTGCCATTGCTCACTCCTCTACAATAAACTGATGAATCACTGCTGATCCAGTCTAAAAAGAGGCTCTGGCTACATCGAGATCTCTGACTGATCGGGCCCGCATGGAAACAGCTGCTGGAACACAGTCTGGTGATTGTCAGAAAAACTCAGTAGTATTTGGCTGATGGGGGTTTTTTTTTTTTTTTTGTATGCCTACATGTTCTACTTTTGGAGGTTTCCCTGCGCTTTCATGTGCATGTAGAACAATGAGCAGTGGAAGTGGGTGCAGTGCTGTTGGACAGCTGTGTGCTGGAAGGGAGGGATCGGGGCAGAGATGGGATGAGGGAGGAAGCAGCTCTTTGTGGTCACATCCTTTTTGACTATGGCCAGTTTCACAAGCCCCCAAACAGCTGCTGCTGCTGCTGCTGCTGCTGCAGGCTACATGTGTTTGACTGTCTGGTTGCCGGGGCTGCATGATATGGACAGAAGTTTTACATATCGCAGCATGATTTGTTTCCATAGTGTATTTGTACTTTGGTAAAGACTGTTAGAAACACTCGGGGTCTCCACATTAGTTGGTTGTGGTTTCATCGGAGACATCCTGATCTTCCGTTAATTTTGATTCAGTGTTACGTCTTTTGTGACTTCTTGTTGTGCAGTGCAGAAGTGACTGATGGATACTTTCAACCATACTTTATATCATATGTATAATATCAAAGTTGTAAATAAGACAGGAGTTACATAAAAGCTTCTTATTTATTCATTTATTCTTACTAATTTGATTTTGGGGTCATTAGTAATTTTATTTTCTGACTGGTGCTACCTTTGCCTCAGCATTTCCAAACAGCTGTACTTCATAATGATATTATTATTATTATTATGATTATTAAATGCACCTTCACTCTGATTCTTAATGTAACAGGTGCTGCTCAGATCTCTGCTGATATCCTCACTTTTTGCCCCTGTGCACATGCTCAAACAAAGGAAGTGAATGTTGTTTCAGCCCACGCTTTAAGCATCATTTTACCCGTTTCAACATAGTTAAAAATAACTACTATATACCCTAAATATGTACCATTTCGGCCTTATAAATATATTCATGTTGAAATAGCAACTTTCACAGGTTAGGAACCAGTTCCTTTCCTTTCATTCATTAATCAGTTGTACTTTAACTGGCTGTATGTTTAAAACAGGACACCATTTATTGTTGATTATATATTATTATTTCAGATGCTGTCTCATAAACCACCTTGCCAACCTCCCGTGTTGGTGGGGGTCATTTGTTTGGCTGCAAGAGATTTTTCTCCTCATGTTTTTGGTCTTTTCTTATGCATGACTGTCTGCGAGTTCTACATACAACACCTATCAGATAATTACGTCATTCAAGTTTCAGTCAGACTGAGTCTCAGATCAGAAAAGGGGATAAAGGGCTTTTTGATCATCCTGTTGAGTGAGAATAGTGTTTGTCACATGCTGTACTGAGATTCGGGCGTTATTCATAATTGGATTTTTAAAATATATTTTCATTGTGATGTTATTTACAGATGTTGAGTGGCGTTCTGATCTTTACATGTATCTGCTCTCTTACAGAAGGCTGGTGGAGTGAAACACTGACTGTGCACTGGTTGGACGAGTGAAACCCGGAGAAGAGCTGGGAGTTGTTGAGGAGTAATCACAGTCTTATATCTTAGCCTGTCCACTTGCACCAGTGAGACCTGCTGCAGTGTGTCAGTTCGACAGAGGTCTTGATCTCAGCTCCTGCAGCCTGCACCTCCTCCCCTCCATCAGTGGTGGTGACCCAAGTCCGGACAGCTTGCTGCAGGGCCCTTCCTGAGCAGCAGCAGCTGCGTCCTGCTTGCTGACTCCCCTCCCTCCCCTGCTTCCTGTCCTTGGTCAGACAAGGCTAAAGCCTCCTCTCCCCTACCCCACCCCTCATCTCTGCTGGCCTCTCATACTCACACACACCAAAGTGGTTTCTCTTGTTGACAACACGTTCACACACTGATTTAGCGTCTACTAACGCTAGTCGGAGATCCATCAGCAGGGGACTTGTAGACCCTCTTGGTCCCCCTGGAGTGACCCGCTACCGCAGAAGTCCTCCCTTTTTACCTTCACTACAGCCTCCAGCATGACCTCCATGTCCAGTCTCTTCTCTTTCACGAGCCCAGCAGTCAAGCGCCTGCTCGGCTGGAAGCAGGGAGACGAGGAGGAGAAATGGGCAGAGAAGGCGGTGGACGCGCTGGTGAAAAAGCTGAAGAAGAAGAAAGGTGCCATGGAGGACCTGGAGAAAGCTCTGAGCTGCCCCGGACAGCCCAGCAAGTGTGTTACCATTCCAAGATCACTGGACGGCCGGCTACAGGTTTCCCACAGGAAAGGTCTGCCTCATGTAATCTACTGCAGAGTGTGGCGGTGGCCAGACCTCCAGTCCCACCACGAGCTCAAGCCCCTGGAGGTGTGCGAGTACCCGTTTGGCTCCAAACAGAAGGAGGTCTGCATCAACCCATATCACTACAAGCGAGTGGAGAGTCCTGGTAGGTACTCATGCCTTCTGCGAATAGGGTAGTCAAAGAGTATTGACTTCAGGTTGTTTCTTTTTTATACTGCAAAGTTAATGTTTGATACGTACTCTAAACTGTTGTAAAGAAATACGATTTAAATTAGCATCTCTCTCATTTTAATTAATTGTTCTCATTACCTTCCCAAATTAGCTTCTTAACTCTTGGGTGCTCTGTAAAGCCCAGTCGTCACCAAATCTGTTAATTTACATGACAAGAAATGTTTTCTAACACATAAAACTGAACAACAATGGCTGAGTAGCAGCAAATATAAGGCGGATTAGACCAGTGTGGAGCTGTGCACATCCCTTTTAGCTTGAGCTCTGAGTAAACTGCAGAACTGGTAAACAAATCCACAAAGGTCAGGAGGCTGTCATCACACAGGCCTGTTCCACCCACCCCCTCCATTTCACAGAAAATCAATATCAGTAGCTCTTTTGGAGTCTTATTAGATTATATGCCTCAAGCACTCCAGATGGGGTGTGGCATCAGAGAGTGCCTCACTAAATGCATAAACCACTCAGACTAAACTCCCAGCACTTTCTCATCACTACCGTCTCTCCCTCTCTCTTACCTTCTCTTTCTTTCTCTTTCTCTCCCTGTCCGTCACTCACACAACATCACATACACTCACGGATGACCCTAAGGGGACAGCCCCTCTCTGACACTCGGCTGATTTGGGATTGCCAGCTCTGTATTGACCAACTCAAGGATATGGATCACATGTCGGTCAGGAGAGACTGCACGTCATATCATTTAAAGCAAAGCTCGCTGGGTAGTTTTTGAGGGACAACCTTGGAGCCGTGACGCTAAAGTCAGTCAGGAGATGAAAATCAAGGCTAGGGAAACACACACTCTCCCTTTGACAAAGTTCAAAATAAAAATACGGCCTCTGTGGTTTTATCTTTACCAAGGTCTAAATTGGCTTTGGAGAATTGCAGGATTGTTGGTGTTGAGCAGTGTTTTTTGTATTTTTATATTTAACTGTTTCAAGACTGGGGGATTGTATTTGTTTACTAAAACAAAGAATTGCTCCTGTTGAAAGATATTGGTTCTGTGTAAAAATTGCACATTGTACAGTTTGTTGAAATTCCATGTCTCTGCTATCATGTCAATGTCAAAACATGCTACAGGAATAAGATGTTGGCCCTACAGTTTGTTTGTGTACATTAGAGCTGAAACAATTGACCAATCAGTAGATCAACAGAAAAGTAATTGGCAACTAGTTTATTGTAAAAGGATTTAAAGTTGTGTATTAAGCAAAGTTATTTTCTGGTTTCAGCTTCTCCAATGTTAAGATTTGCCTTTTCATTTTTTAAATATCTTAGATTTTTGTACTGTTGGTTGAATGAAACAAGACATGCAGACATCAGCTAAGGATGTAGGAAACTGGGAAGGGCTTCATTCGGTACCTTATAGGTCAAATGATGGTTGGAGAAAATAATTGGTAGCGGCTGTCCCAGTGCGACACATAACGGTGTGTGCACCTTGGCTACCTTTCTAAGAGCATGCTCATCAGGAGCTTCTCTTTCCAGCATTGGCTGCATCTCCTTGTTATTAATGGAAAGGATACATTATTAACAAGGAAAAGCATTTAAGAAAGTCATACTTCAAACAGGTTTTTTTTTTAGTAAAAGACGTTTGTGTTAGATGAGCTCCTAACATAATGATCAGGTAGTTTTCTCAATGATAAGAAAATACCTTTCTGTAACTAATTTTTCTCCCTTGCCTTGTTTGTCCCACTGTACAGTGCTCCCCCCTGTCCTGGTACCGCGGCACAGCGAGTTCAATCCACAGCACAGTTTGCTGGTACAGTTCCGCAATCTCACCCACAACGAGCCGCACATGCCCCTGAACGCCACCTTTCCAGAGTCCTTCCAGCAGCCACACAGCGGGGGTGGCAGCAGCAGTGGCGGAGGAGGTGGAGGCGGTTCTTTTCCCATCTCTCCAAACTCCCCGTATCCTCCTTCTCCAGCCAGCAGTGGTACTTACCCAAACTCTCCTGCCAGCTCGGGGCCCTCCAGTCCATTCCAGCTCCCAGGTACGCCAAATATACTCATGTACCTGACCCTGGGCAAGACGCCAAACTATTGTTTGTCTGGATGGTCGCTGTCATGTAGCCAACAACAGGCTAACTGTTATTAAACACTAGTCTCAAGTGATTTTTTTTGTTTTTTAAGTTGTTTGTTTTTAAGTAAGGGACAACCTAAGATCTAGATACATCCACTTTAATAATCATATCATGTACAAAACTCCCAGTCTAGGGACATTTTGGTTGCAATACACTGATGAATTGTTTACTAAAATATCATCTTTTATACTTACTATCAGTTTAAACCCATGTATAACACACTAGGGCAATGAAAAAGGTTCTTCTTAACAGTACTCTAACCAAGTTATTATATTCATCCGAATCAAGCTACACCCCTAAATGAGAACAAAGGAAATGCCAGCTAAGCAGTGTCCACCAGAGCCAGAGCTGCTGGCTGCTGTCAAGGCACTAACTCAGTGAAGCAGGCGGCCTTTTTGTCTCATAGTTACTGACTGGAAACCAAACTGATACATCCAACATAAAATAAAAATATCACTCAGATGAGACATTCCTTTCTGTCCTGTTCAATAGCGTTGGTATAGTAGAGAAATAACTGTGTGTGTCTGTGTCTGTGTGTGTGGTGACTAGTGCTCTATTCTGCTCCAGTCCAGATCTGCTGACACATCCGGTGGCTGCAGGCAGTGAGGCAGAAAAAGTTTTTAATGGCAATTTAGGATTTTAGGATTTGAGCTTATTTGTGCTGAAAAGCCCCCGATCGTCATTGTCTACACTCACATGCGTCGCTATCGCCGAAATGTCCTCGCTGCAGTCTAAGTGGAGGTTTTCTGCATTGTTTTTTTTTTTTTCCCCTGTGTGCCTCAATATGGGCTCGGAAAGCTCATATTGCATCTCTGTCGGGAATGGGTTAGCATGTGGCTTAGCAAGTGAGGGATATGTGAAATCTGACACCATTTCCGGGGTACAGATCCTGTGATGATTGTTCAAGTCTAGGGAGACATCTGTGTGTGTGTGTGTGTGTGTGTGTGTGTGTGTGTGTGTGTGTGTGTAAGGCTATTTGCCAGCAGCAACAACTGGTCTCATCCTCACTAACTGCTCTCTTAATGTCTCAGCTGACACCCCACCCCCAGCCTACATGCCCCCAGATGAGCAGCTGGGCCAGGAGAGCCAGTCCATGGAAACCACCAGCAGCAGCAGCAGCCTGGTGCCGCAGAACATGGCCAGAGGAGGTGAGGAGTGCACAAATTTACACTGACAATAAAACTACATCCAAAAAAAGTACCCAACGGTGAAAAGGGTGAAATACCAACAAGAAAGTCTAGAGAATCGTCCATTGAGGCACTGTTTGAAAACTGCAGTAAAAAAGTTTCTCCTCTGTCTCAACGTGTATTTGTTTGTGCAGCTTAATGCTGTGCACTACTATTGAGGAGTCTGGATTACATTTATCAATTACATTTAATAGTGAATATTTGTCTAATCCAATATTTATTGTATTATTGTTCTGTTTTCTTTCTACATTAAGATTTGTAAAAAGCACTTTAAATTTATTTGACGCCTGATAATACATAAAATCATTCCTTTCTTTTAATGGTTTTTATGGTATTTTGTATTTGTGTAGTGTCTTAGAAGGGTGGAGTACACTGCTCTGTCCACCTCCTGTGATTCAACTAAATAACAATACAATACAGACTTGTGTGCGCTAGTAACAGGCACATAGTGACAGATTTATATACAGCAATGGGAAATTTATTCTCTGTAACTAAAAACATATTGCTTTATAAGATGCATCTTAATTAATGTCTTATGCCTTCCAGAAGATATTTGTGTGTGGGAAGATTATCGACAGCGAAGTTTATGACTCACCTGTTTTTATCCGTCCTGTTGTGCAATTTTTCCAGATGTGCAACCAGTGGAGTACGAGGAGCCGAGCCACTGGTGCTCTATCGTCTACTATGAACTTAACAATCGCGTAGGTGAGGCTTACCATGCCTCGTCAACCAGCGTGCTGGTGGATGGCTTCACTGACCCTTCAAACAACAAGAACCGCTTCTGCCTCGGACTGCTGTCCAACGTCAACCGCAACTCGACAATCGAGAACACCCGCAGACACATCGGCAAAGGTACGACTAACCCAAACACAGCAGAAGTTGGTGTGAGGTTCACGTTTTGTCTGAATGTCCTGACCATCATTTGTCCGTCTCTGTTAACCAGGAGTGCACCTGTACTATGTTGGAGGGGAGGTGTACGCGGAGTGCCTCAGTGACACCAGCATTTTTGTCCAGAGCCGTAACTGTAATTACCACCACGGCTTCCACCCCACCACTGTCTGCAAGATCCCCAGTGGATGTAGCCTAAAGATTTTCAACAACCAGGAGTTTGCTCAGCTTCTGGCCCAGTCAGTCAACCACGGCTTTGAGGCCGTCTATGAGCTTACTAAGATGTGTACCATTAGGATGAGCTTCGTCAAGGTAAGGCCTTCATGAACTATAATACAGGATATGGGGAGGGCGTAAAGCAGGCACAGTTATATACGCCAATCATCCTCTCTTTTAACATCATCTTTGTCATTGTTTTAATTTTATTCTGCCTCCTCGCAGGGCTGGGGAGCGGAGTATCACCGACAGGACGTCACCAGCACCCCCTGCTGGATCGAGGTGCATCTGCATGGGCCTCTCCAGTGGCTGGACAAGGTGCTAACACAAATGGGTTCACCTCTCAACCCAATCTCCTCTGTGTCCTAATGATGGACTTTGGAGATCCTTTCTACTTTTTTTTTTTTTTTTTGTTGTTTTTTTTTTTTTTTTTTTTACTTTTCTTTTCTCCCCCTCCAGTGATTTTATAATTTAAGGTGGTCTTAATGGCTGAACTGTTTACACTTAACTTTGGGAAGGGATATTGAATTGAACTCTGGCTGGAAGTTCAACAGCAGCAGCAGCTGGAATCAGTTGTTGAAACAGAGTAACATTACAAGCAAATACCTGGAGAAAGAGAGGAATAAGGAATGCCCAAGTAGCAGTAACGACACGGACACACTACTGCTTGACAATGCTGACGACACCTGCAAGAATTGAGGGCTCCATTGTCAAGCTTGGATCTGTCAAATGTTAATTTTTTTGCATAAAGTTTTATCGTTTTCTCAAACGTTTTTATCTCTCTGTATGTGTAGTTTTTAATGAAGCAGAACTGTTTCACTACTCTGCCTTATGTCCGACAGACAAATTTGAATTTTACTGAACACTTTTTACATTGTTGTCTCAATGTCAGATATTTACAATTTTAAGATATAGACACGATTATGTTTACCATTAGACTCAAATATAACAAAATGCTTTTTATAGTCTCTACTGCTAGACATGAACACTGAGCTACTGCCTTTAAGAGAAGGTTATGTATGCCGACCGGATAGTTTTTTTTTTTTTGATATGGGAGATCAATCACTGAACAAGTTTAACACGCCATAAGCTAACAACATTGTGAATGTTACATCTATTGCAATAGAAGTAGTCATTTATGATATAATCAGACAATGGACATCATCATTATTGATTCTTGTTTGTACTCTAAAGTTCAAGGAAGAGTGACTGTATTTTCCATACTCACTGTATTAACAATATTGTGCACTCATGGATTTTGTGGAGGCATATTAAATTTTTGGCGTGGGTACCAAGGCATTATGTTGATAGATAATTTACTTCATTAGCCCAATGAAATAAACAGGTTATTTGGTAACAATGATTGTTTAATTTTGTCTGTTTCTCGGTTCTTGTAGGGTTTTAGTTTATACTTGAAATCCCTCTCGATACCCACGAACAGTGTGGAACTGTGTCGAATCAGGATGGATCAACACTAACAATACAATCAGGCATGCGTACAGAAGACAGATTGATTCAGACTGATGTTAGATTTACAGCACATCACCACTTCTCCATTCTACTCTGATTACACTTGTTTGAATAGCTGTTATTAGACGTGCTGCCGAGTGGATGTTAAATTTATAATCTAAACAACACTGATCACAGTTTTAAACGTCGCTATGGCAAACTCATAAAAGCAAACAAGGACAATAGTAAAATTTTAATGACTGAAATGTTGAGTACATGGAGCCTGCAGCTTATTTCTATTTGCTGTAAAGCTCTCTGAGTATCAATAAATGTACAGTGACTCACAATAATAATGTTCTTTATGATACTCAAACATTTAATTAAGAACATTTATTGCTTACAATGGAAAACTCAAACATAAAAAAAGGCAGATTTAAATGAGATGTGTGTTTCGAATGAGAAGATCCTGTTGTGTGGAGGATTACACATTATGTAATAAAGTGGTTTGTCTTTATGTAATGATAAATGGATCAGATGTTTGACTGTATTCTGGAAACAAGGGGAAGAAATCATACAGGTATAATACGCCTTCACTGCATGATGCCATCACCTGCTGCTTAGATTTAAACTATAATAGTCAACAGATACTGCAGTTGGGATATTGTCCTTTAATTATCAGCTTTAGGTTGATTACCAATTGATACTCAGGTATGTTTTTATTTAATAAGGGGATGCATGTTGTTTGTTTTCATTCAGTTAGTATTTTGAATGTTTACTCTTTCTGCTTCTATTGATTTCCATATAATCCAAACAGTGATGCCGAGAGAAAGTCTGTCTATATGATATCATACTAAATGCTGAATGCATGAGACTCATTGTTCTTGCATTCATTTGAACGGCCAGGATAATTTATAGCCTACTTGACATCAATTAACAACATTTAACATAAATTCTGCAACTTTTTAGCAGATAAAACTGATTAAAAAACGAGGCAACACTTCTTTCCTTCCATAAATACCAGCGTACACGCACATATCCAGTAAAAAAGGAGGAAGACTTAAACATTTTTATGAACTATTTTTTTTATATTCTACCACATTTGAGGTGTTTCTGCAGCCTCCTTAGCATCCAAATAAAAAAATGCATGTTTCAGTAAGCCACATTTGGAAGCTAGAGGTTAACTATGATAGATTAACTGAAGAAACCTTTGGATAAGAGGCGAAATGACTAAATTAAGGTTTATTACTGGTTTAAATAAATACCCTGGCCCCTTTGAAACTGCCCCCTTATTTATATTATTAATGGCAATGGACGTTAACCCAGCAGATATTAAGTTAAACATTAATATCAGCAGTGCAGCAGCACCAGGAACAGAACCACAAATGAATCAGCATGACAACTTCCTATTGGTCCACGTTGGTGTTTACCGTAAATCTCCTAAAAGACGGGCCACGCAAAATATACAAATACAACACCACAAATCCCGCAACACGTAAAATCACCGCTCAAACGCAAATACTAAGTCTCAATCCCTAAATACTTAAAACAACTATCTTCATTTCTCGCTTTACACACACCAAGTGGCTGCAACACGCCGGTGAAGCGCGAAATTGCCGTTGCGTGAAATTCCCGCCGCGGCCGGATGTGAGGTGGCTCCGAGGAGCAAGCCAAAGATAAACACGTAGCCAGACGAGCAGGGGCGAGGATAACACTTATTACACAGGCTGCGGCGAAAAACACACAAACATGGAGTAGCCGGTAAGAAAATAGAGATCTTTAGCAGGCAAGGGGAGAGACAAACGTCAAGTTAACCACGGAGCAAGTCTTCCGCAGACATCGAGTCGGTGAGTCCCGCAGACTACTGACAGCTGTAAGCAGCTAGCGAGCTAACGGTAGCTAACGCTATCGCTAACTAACCCTAATTAACATACCTGTGACAGTTAGTTGGTTTCTGGAGTAACCTTATTAATATATCTGCTATTTTGTGTTTTTTTTTTTTTTTACTAGCTTGTTAGTTTAAGTTTCTCTCTGTTTTATCCCGGGAAGCTTTTTTATAAAGGATTTTTAAACCATATTGGATTTAATGTGAGCGAGCTACGTTAGCCACCTCCTCTCCAGGGAAAAGCTGCGTGTTGGTGTTTAATATGAAGTTAATGGGGGGGGGATTATATTGTGTTGCTCCCGATGTGATGAATGTACAAGTGTATGGAGGGATGCTGTAACTTAACGTAGCTGCAAGAAAAGTGGGAGTGTACGCAGTGCTAACGCAAGTGCAAGTTACAGGTGAAAATAAAAACCGAGCAGTAGTTTCATTTTACATTTTACCTGCATCTCCTGCCCAGTACAAACACTAACCACATTCACCTAATACTCCAGCTGGGATTTATTTAGAATTAGAATTAAAATGTGATGCTGTTTTTTTTTTTTTTTTTTTAAAAAGGGTTTATTTGCTGTGAAGGGTTGAATGTCTCAAAGTCAAACACTTAAGTTCACCTGGCAGGTTGTCAGCTCTTGTGTTGTCTCACCAGATGTTATTCAAACAGCCCTTAAAGGTCTTCTGTTAGTTAAGTGTATCCAGTTAAGACCTGAGAGTGAGTTTGGTTAATATTAAACCCTGGACACTATTTAGTTTAAACAAAACAGTGAACATGTTGTGACCCTCACAAATCTGCCTCCCCCCTCCCTCCAATCAGCAACAAGCATATCATCTCGCTCTGAACGGCTTCCACGTTGCAGGTTCTGAAAATACTACTTTGCATGAGTGAGATTGCCACAGAAAGCAGCAGCATGAACTGATAACAATAAGAAACTTTAATTTGTGGCTGGTTTCTGAACAGATGATGACCCCCGGAAAGGTGTTTTTCAGGTGAAATCAGGCACTTCCTAACAGAAGAATAGACGAGGCAATGAAACAAATCGTAATATTAATCTGCATCAGACACACTTCATCATTAGTAAGAAGAAAATTGCTCAATAGGATGTTTTAGCTTCAGTTTCATTTAAATGTAAACCACCATAACGAATACACCCTGGCGTGAATCGGAGTGAATCCACACTACCCTTCAGAGTATGCAACATGTTCCCAGTCCCAGTACATCCGGTATATCTCAAGAAACAATGCACTATGGAGAGAGATATATATCAGAAATACCATATAGCAAAACATTAAAATCATTACTGGTGTGCTGTGATACTCTCAGCAGTTAAATTAAACCTTTTTTTTCCTGGTCTTCATTAAAGAATGTAATTTTAAAATTATTAATAATTATCTAAACTAACTGAAATGAAACATTTTGCTGTCATACATTTTTCAGCTGTATGAATCAGGCCTAGAGTAGACACAAAGGATCAGTGTGGCTGCATCCTAATACTCTATAAACCCCCCAAATATCATAATTATATGTTTTTCGATTATTATTTTTAACCTCCAGAACATTTAGGCTTGCTGGGATGAGAGGCAGCATTTACGAACTGAAAGAGACGGTGAAAAGCTTTATTTATTTATCAATGACCACATAGTTTGCAGAGCAGATATCTCATTTCAAATGAATGACAGGCTGCAAAAGCTCGACAATTTCCTTGTGACCACATGGTTTCCAGCAGAGCGCTACCCTTTCTTTATGTGTTGTTCTGCTACATTCAGTCAGCATTCACATGTAACAACCACCTCCTTCTCCTTCTCTTCTCCCGTCATCTGTTTCCCTACCGCAGTATCTGTAGCTGAGTCCAAAATGGTACGAGCAGCCTTGGTGACCGCCACCAGTCTTACATTGACTGGGGCTGTGGTGGCACATGCTTACCTCCTCAAACATCAGTTCTACCCGACTGTGGTCTACCTCACCAAGAGCAGCCCGAGCATGGCGGTAAGAGCAGCGCTGAGTCACTTTTAACCCATATTAATGTGTTTTTAAATTTGACTATATTTTCTCGGAGGCCGTATCCGTAACAATGTGACGAATCAGCCTTTTTGTTTTCTGTTTTGTTTCTGGTATCAGGTGTTGTACATTCAGGCCTTCGTGTTGGTGTTTCTCTTGGGAAAGTTCATGAGGAAGGTCTTCTTTGGACAGCTAAGGGCTGCAGAAATGGAGGTAGAGTTCTGTTTATATTTATGACTCATCATAGGACACATTCAGTTTTAATATTTAATGCGTTGTCTCTGTTGTAAATGACGTGTGCAATCACTCCGCTCTACCGTCAGCATCTCATTGAGCGCTCCTGGTACGCGGTGACCGAGACGTGCCTGGCGTTCACTGTGTTCAGGGACGACTTCTCCCCCCGCTTTGTCGCCCTCTTCACCCTCCTGCTCTTCCTTAAGTGCTTCCACTGGCTTGCTGAGGACCGGGTGGACTTTGTGAGTGACGAGAGACAAACCACTTCCTCATCCTACATAGCACACAGTATACTTCATCCACTGTACGGCACATTGTTTAAAGGAAGAAAGGAAATATGGGACAAAGGATGGGACAGATGGCGTGTGACTAAGATTGCATACCAGAGTTGAACAAACGTTGTTATCTGAAGTTTTGCATCTGATTCTGGGATTTTTCCATTGGATTATTTCAGAAAATGTGGTGAACAAAGGTTTATGATACTTACATGTTTGGTTCAGCAAGATAATCTTCTCAAATCAACACCAATTTTATGATTTTTGAGGCGTAAATGCGATCACCAGAAGTAAAAAAAAGCTAACGTTAGGCTATAAATTACCTGCAGCACAGTCGCATGACTTCAACATCACCACCACTAAACTTTCAACTTGTAATTAAATCATTTAATTAAAATCTACAAGTTGGGAAGTTTGAGAATAGTTTAGTAGTAAAGGCAGACTAGTGTGTTGACATTTAATGTCATTTAGACACTTTTTAACAACTTCCTTTTACATAAAAGCTTAAAAATTCACAGGTGGGATATTTACTGATGTATTTTACATCGTAGAACAAAACGCAAAAATCTTATGTCAGCCATTCAACCAGAAACCCATTTATAAGACTTTTAGGTGTGAGAACCAGAAGTACCAAAAAATGCTTACTCATTTCTGGGTTTTAGGACTCATTACCGCAGCACTCTATTCAGTTACAGATTTAATGTAAACAACTATAGTGAACTGCAGAGTAAAGTATTGTTTGGAAGGAGAGGATGTTGTGAACGGAGGAAGCTTCTGAATATCAAACAACCTGGAACACGTTACAGGTTTCTGTCCTTCTGTTAGTGAGTTGACATTCATATGTACAGTGATAATTCATTGTCACAATTGACTGTGCATGTTTTAACTACAAGTGAATAACGTTCTGTTTTTAAACCTTTCTCTGTCAGATGGAACGGAGTCCAAACATATCTTGGCTTTTTCACTTCAGGGTATTATGTAAGTACACGTTATCAGCCATGTCAGAAATCCTTTAAACTCTTTGACTTCTCTCTCTCTCTCTCTCTTTCTGTTCTGTTGCTTCTGTTTATGAAAGCAGTGTAAATGAAACTATGCAAATCATCGCTGTTTGCACATGAGGCCAGGTGCACCACGGTTTAATGGAGCCCCTGAACGTAACACCTGAATGATTGACGTTAACAGACCATGACACCATTTTCTGAACACTACTACAAAATCCACTCCTTGTCAGACTTCATTTGTGGTGATGACATCCAGCCTACTGTGTCTCATTCAGGACAGCTCATTTCTCTATCCATGGCAGTTTCCAGAATCAGAACCAGTAGTTTCTAAAGAAGGGTCCATCGGATACTTAGAAAATCAGTGTACATCTTTAAATACTTAATGTACTTGTCCGGAGCTTCTGCATGTAGGTACTGCAGCCTTCCCCACAGAGGTGTTATTCAGTGTTGTTCTTTATTTCCTGCAGCTCTCATGGGACTGCTGGGTATTCTGGACTTCCTCTTTGTCAACCATGCCTGTTACAGCATCATTACCCGAGGAGCCTCTGTCCAGCTTGTCTTTGGATTTGAGGTTTGTCCTACTTCAGTTGAAGATTAATTTAAGCATTTTTTTTTTTTTTTTTTTTTTAAAAAGGGCTTATTTAACCTACCTTTGATCATTTCCAAATCTTAATCCTTCATCCCACTTTGGCAGGCTTATGGACGGGTTGCACAGCAGACATTTTGGCATGTGGTAGCAGGAAACTCACAGGTGTATTAATGGTGGCTGCATTCCACTTAGAAGAGGGTTCACCGTTGCTGGTTCACTGTCACACTGACACTTAATGGAACTGAGCCATCGACCTGTTTTTCTGGCTTTGGGAAGACAAAATGTCTGCTGTGCAACCAGTCCATTCCTTTATTTACTCAAGAGTAATTTTTTCTCTTGTGATATTAAAAGTTTTTAATGTGGTCAAGACTGAGGAGCACCCTGGTAGCTCACCTGTACTGAGGCTGAATCATTTCCATAGCGACCTGGGTTTGATTCCCGCCTATAGCACTTTTCATCTCTCTGCTGAGGAAGTCGAGGTGTGCAGCTGCAGCTCTTCATCTAACGGCTCAACAAGCTCACAGACAAGCAAACTGCATTTCCTGTGACAACTACTTTATGATAAAAATGTACTTTTGTTTCACCAGTTGAATACTTTTAATGTGAAGCTGCAGCAGTAGAGAATATTCGGTTTCATTAGCAGGAACTTAATACTGCCGTCCTCCCGTTATTTTGCCGCTGATACACAGTTTGTAATACTTTAAATATAGAAATATTTAAATACTTTCTACAACGGCCATTCTGTAGGCCCCTCCAACAAAGGACAAAAGTCCTAAAATGTTAAAAATAAAAGACAGAAATGTGGGTAAGACTCTTTGGACAAATGTGATTCATCTCCACATAGTATATATTTCTTTCTTATGTTTCACTCTCCCTCAACTTTTGATGAGAATTATGTGCACTCTCATGGCCACAGTTTATTTATTGTATAGACATTTTACTTTTTAAAGCTCCAGAAATAACATATCGATCTTTAATCTACATCCAGTATCCCAGCTGCAGTGGCACTTTTCAAGCGTCTTGAGATCATAGACAAGAAGAAGATATAAATGTCTGTATCTCCCCCTCAGTATGCCATCCTGCTGACCATGGTGCTGACGACCTTCGTTAAATACCTTCTGCACACTATTGACCTGCAGAGTGAGAATCCCTGGGACAACAAGGCCGGCTATATGCTCTACACTGAGCTCTTCACAGGTACTGCGTTCACTTCAATCCGTGATGCTGGAACATTTTCCTTCCAGACAATGTGATATAATTGAAGATGAAATGGTGGCAGCCATACTCAAATGTTAGTTTTTATTCCAGGTTTCATCAAAGTGCTCCTGTACATTGCATTCATGACCATCATGATAAAAGTCCACACCTTCCCCCTGTTCGCCATCCGGCCCATGTATCTGGCTATGAGGTGAGCAGCTGTGTGCCTTTTTGTATTTGTGTGTGAGGATGTTTTCTTTTATTTTAATTTTTATTACTTTCACTACACTGCTTTCTGTTGTTGTAAGTCAGAGTTCTCACACAGGTCTCAATTATCTTTTAAATGTTTGGAATATGAGTTTGTTTGCATGTTTTGAGTTTGGTGTTGTTTTCATTTTTCTCTCAGGCAGTTCAAGAAAGCTGTAACAGATGCTATAATGTCTCGGAGAGCAATCCGCAACATGAATACACTGTGAGTATTTCTTACTGATTGCACCATGTTCTATTTGTTTGTCTTATTAATTGTCATTAACATGTCATTCGGTTAAACAAACATGGTCAAGTTTAATTCTCATTTAATGACATGGACTATGGCCCTTATACAAATGAATGCCCATCCTCCATTTGGAGATAAACACACTGTTACACATTAACCTTGACAAGCTCTTAATCAGGTTGGAGCAAACGTATTTAATTTTTCAGAATATCTACAGAAAATTTTACACGTTGAGCCGCATGTACAATTTTGGATAGTTTGTTTTTCTACTGTCTCTAAGCTCATCTTTCATCTCATCTAATGATCTTTAGCCGTGGGTTATTTGCAATCAGACAATACGCACAGACACACAGTACAAGCTGAATAAAAACCCAACTAATACGTTCTCTTCTCATTTCTGCCTTTGTTCAGATACCCTGACGCTACTCCTGAAGACCTGCAGGCCTCTGACAACGTCTGTATTATCTGTCGGGAGGAAATGGTCACTGGAGCCAAGAAGCTGCCTTGTAATCATATTTTCCACTCCAGGTAAGTCTTGCAGGAAAGATTCTAGACTGCAAACAAACAGAACGTAGAGTAGATGTTTACTGACGTTACACACAGTTCCTGTATTTAAACAGTGAACGAGTCAGTGTGGCAAATTAAACACGACATAAAAAAGGACCTTTGTAACTGCGTTTGTGTTTAATATTTGTTGTTTGTTTGTTGTAGTACATCAAATTATCTTGCTTTGCCCTCCTCTCCTCCCCACAGCTGCCTGCGCTCCTGGTTCCAGAGGCAGCAGACCTGTCCTACCTGTCGCATGGACGTCCTCCGGGCCTCCAACAACAATCAGACTCCAGCTCCAGCCCAGGCCCCGCCACCTGCTCCCGCGGCCCCCGCCAACGCCCCCGCAGCCCCACCTGCCAATGGTGAGAGTCAAAACCAGTACAAACACAAACGCTGTCTTCCTGCTTCCAGCCTTACGCACACCCAAATTATGTGCAGTCCAGAACGCATGTCATGTGGGTGCCCTCAGCAGTAAAACTGCCACTGAGGAAGAGAAAAATGCCTTTTGAAACAACTTATGCAACAGTGCACATTCCAATACCTGAGAGTAATGCTTCACCTGGGTACATTTACCTGTTTGACAGACGGTATGTACTTTTATACCTGCTGCTATCAGGACTGTTTCACCATTCGTGAACTTAAAGCCTCTATGTGCACAACTTTAGTAACTATAGATAACTATAGTTTTTGTTTGTAGAAACATTAGACAATCCTGGTGCAGTCTTCTATCGCACATTTTCACTCATTGTGGCTTTAAGTTTGGAGAAACTAGTCCAGAGATCTAAGTTAAATACAGTTTTTTCCAGCTTAATTAATAAATAGTCTTGCTGATCATGTTGAGCACTATTAGGGATCTCAAGGATTGGTATTAGGGCGGATCAAAGCATGTTTTGACTAATTGTTATCAGCTACGTTGAGCCCGATCCGACCCTTTGTTTTACGTCAGCTGTCACACAGGTGTTCTCACTCACGAAGCTTTCATGCACGGTGCAGCTGTTGTCAACTTTCCACTGTGTGTTTCTTCTCTACTCTGCTGACAGCGGTGGAGAGCTGCACACTCGCCATGCCAATGAAAGTGCAAAAAAAAGCCTCATGAACAAAAGGCCAATGAGAGTAATTTATTAATGTTATCAATCCCTGAAGCAACAAACACTGCAGGACACCTTTGAAGGGAGAGATAAATTCCTTTGAGACAGGGACAAAGGCCAAAAAAGATTAGAGAGGGTTTGTTGGGCTATTTTATAACCTTCTTTGTTATGAAATTTTGTGAAAGAAATAAAAAAAAAAACATTAGGGAACAGCATGGATGCATGCAATTCTTTTCTTAATGCAATGCAGAGCTATTCACCTGTATTAAATTGGAAAATACAAGTATCGGCTCAGCGGATACTCAATATTAAATGGTCGGACTGGAGGAACGACACGTTGCATCCCCAGAGAATATTAATTTCCTCTGGTAAATGCATATTTGGACCCTTCTCCAGTGTCTGTAAGGATCTCTTTTGGTTCTGTTTCCTCTGCAGTCGCACCAGGAATGTTACCTGGCTTTCCTCCTGGCATCTTCCCCTTCTGGGGTCCCTTCCCTGCAGTCCCTCCTCCTGCTGCTGCAGCTGCAGCTCCCGGGGCTACTGATGCTCCCCAAAGCAGCACAGAGGCTACGCAGGCAGCTGGTAAGGATACCTCGTGCTCTCTTGCAACAAATTAGCCACCACAATTTTCCACAGCACACAAAAGGAAATCAAACCTAAACAATCTGAAGCAGTTTGTTAATTCAATGTGTCAGAGTTAGAGAGATGATATCGGTGCACCTGGTTTGTTTTATTTTCAGGTACCAGCCAGCCCACCTCATCGACTGCAGACACTGCCGCAGCTGCTGCTGCTGCAGGATCAGCAATCCCAGGCTTCCCCTTCTCCTTCCCCCCTCCTCCTTTCCCCACTGCACCATGGCTGCCCATGCCACCTCCTCCTCCCTTCGGTAAGCACAAACACTCTGTGTTGTCTTGCAGATCTAAATGAATATACACTTGCTGACTTGACTGTTGCAGAAAATAAGTACATGGACATTGTTTCTGAAAAGGCTAAATGCATTTGCATTTCTGCTGGAAAAAAAAACAGAAGAGTTTGGGAAATCCAGCATCAGAGTGTAACGAGACAACTCTGGTTGCTCTGTGTTTTAAGTGACGATTATCTGACCAATCGGTGGTCTGTAGTGTTTTCACTCCACCTTTAGTATCGGCTCAGCACACTTGGAATATCGTAAAAAGAGCAAGCTGAGCCGGGCCGTACCACACATTGGAGACACGCCATAAGTGGAAGTTTCTTTCACCTGAACTAGTTTATGTCAATGTCTCTCATCTCCTCTCCTACAGTGTCATCAATGCCTCCCCCTCCTCCGTCTCTGTCCCGGCTGTCGGAGGAGGAGCTGAGGGAGCTGGAAGCAGAAGGCCGACGCGGCCTCGAGGCCAGGCTCCAGTGCCTCCAGAACATCCACACCCTGCTGGACGCCGCCATGCTCAACATCCACCACTACCTCAGCACCGTCGCCACACTCACGTAACTGAGCCTCCTCTAGTTTAAGTCGCATGTTCTCACAACTTAAGCTTAAATTATTGAAATATGTATAAAACCTTTTCAGTAATTTAAGATCAAGTGGCACAATTGTTTGTTTTTTGTAACAGGAAACCTTAGAGCTGACGACATTTGTTTCCAAAAAGCAATTTTCAGTTGAATTGTCCTTCATTGCCTCCACAGTCCTCCTCGGACTGAGAGCAGCACCGGAGAAGCCAGTGGGACCAACAACACTGCTTCATCCCCTGCAGCCGGCAGTAGCACAGACAGTCCCAGCCAGGAGAAGGACTCTTCCAGCTGTAAGTAAACTGACAGGTCAACTCAAGAGACAATTCAATCAAAAGACTTGGACCCTGAGTCAGTATTTTATTTCCGTTTCCAGCTGAGCAGGTGGACGGAGCTACAGTCTCCTCTCAGCCAGCGGACTCCACTTCTGCTGCCTCGGACACAGAAAGGCAAGAGGCGATGGATGAAGGACTGGAGGTGGGGGACGAGAACGGAGAGCCAAATGCTGCTGAGCTGAGACGCCGCCGCCTTCGTAAACTAGAGACTGCAACAGCATCGTCATCTTCCCCCCCTCCGGACAACTGATCCATGCGCTCTGACTCGGACAGGTTGCTCTGGACCAACAGGAACTCTGAGCTGATTGATCGTTGCTTTGGTTCCTCATTGCCTCTCTTCCTCGTGGCCCTCGCCTTCCACAGGCTCACTGTGTCGAGTTGGATTCAGACTGCTGGGAGACGCAATGATTTTTGCCGCTTATCTGGACTGTTCTGTGTCAGAAAGCAATAGCACGACTTCTTTTTTTTTTTGTTCTCACCACCTTCCCCCTGCCCCCCCTCCCCCCTAAATGACTACTGCAATAAGAGTGCTGCAGATGTTTGTAAGTTTAATCAGATGGAAGAGGAACGTGGAACCCAGTTATTTGGTCAGTGTGAGAGAGAGATGGTGTTTGGATATGTGTTTGGTAGTTTTACTGTCGGTGAGGCACTTTGATTTTTGTTTAATTCAGCTTTCTTCAACAAAAAAGGTGGTTCCATTCACCACATCAACATGTTACACAGCACCTGGATCAGTGTCAGATCCAGTGAATTCAAATCAAAGGAAGTTGATTAACTACTCTGGCTTTGGCTCTTTTTCTTTTAACATTCATCACTCTTCTGTTGCCACTGCAGACGTTGTAACATACTGATTTATTTGAATGTGTACATACTGTATAAAGAGTTTTAATAGGATGATCTGTACATAATGCAGAATAAACTGTTGGACTGAAATGGCAGCGACGTAACACGTATGTTGGTTTGTATGTTCACATACGGATGTTCTCGGGGTCGGGCCCACCCCCACCCCAAAGACTCCCATCATGAATCTGAGTGGTCAAAGGATGATTAAAGGAAGTTATCTCTGTTACTTTCCCCTATTGTTTCCTTGTGAAATGTCGTTTTTTTTTTTTTTTTTACCTCATTAGGCCTCTAAACATCATTCAAATGAAGCAATGTGAGCTATTCTGTAAAAGACATGAAACCCTGTAAATATTATGTCTGCTTTTATTGTTTTTTTTTTGTAAGTAATGCAGTAATTCTTTATCTTACAGGTCTGTAATTTCCCAGGAAGCTTCCTGATAGAAGTATGTGTTTTGGTACTAATTATAAGGAAGGACGAATTTCCTCGAAAGATTTCATTCACTACTCATTTATTATTGGAAATTTAAGTCTTTGTATATGTTGAGTTGTATTTGTTTTTTTGACACATCTGTCAAAATTATCCATATCGGACCCTGTGTGTACCGACAAATGATTTTAATATAATTAGTACCAAATGACATTGTTCTTTCTGGGGAAACTTCCCAAATAATGCAGAAATCACAGACCAGTAAGATAAAGAGTAATGCAATAGACTATTTGTTTTATTAAACAGTAACATAAAAGACAAAAATAAAAGTAGACGTGATGTTCACCAACAGATAAAACATTTAAAAGTGTAAAAACATTATGACATACCTTGAGAAACAACTATTTTCCACAGTTTGCAGCTTTACAGGTCGGACAAGCTTGTTTTGATGTTTTTTATTAGTTTGTTGTTTACATAGTAAATATCAGTTATGCAGTAAAGTCAACGCCACAGTTGAGTGACGTGCTCCGAGGAAGCCTCATTCCAGTAAAGACATGAAGGAGAATAACATTTAGATTTTTCTTGATTTGTTTAAAATAAGTTAAACTAAGATCAAAATAAAATTTTACAGGAAGGGAATAAAATGATGAAAATCAAATGTGAGGAACAAAAGGAACAGCAGACATTGGCCCGAAAGGTAACTTGTAAAACATAAAAATAACAAGCGATGTGAATACCTTCAGTAATGTTTAGGTCTGAGATTACAAAACAGAACCTGTGGATGTGGAATTATTTATTGAAGGTGTCAAAAGAAATGACTGGTCTTTAAAAAAATAGTTGACATTTTGTATTTTAGTCAATTTCTTATACACTTGAAACAGTGTAAGAGAAAAGTTACCTTCACAAAACAGCTGCGAGCTTTTGAGCTACATTACATAACGTGTATTCATTTAATAAGGAATGCTAACGAAGCTAAATGTGCCATTTTTAGGACTTTGTAAGAGCTCGTTTGTTTTTTTTTAATTCAACAATGGGGCATGGATTTATTTAAAACAAGCTAACAAACTGACACAATCTCAGCTTAACCTTCACAAGGAGATCACTGAGCACAGTGTTTGGTCGTTCCCACCAAAGTGTGTTCCCTTTGAGCTACGATTTAAATATATATTCTCTGTTCAAAAACTACAAGGTGCATATTCACTGTTTGGTGGTGGTTTCCTGAGGTTTACAGTGCAAAAACACTGCAGAGGAGAGAGGGAGAGGGGGTTGCTACTGAGTGGTTGCTGTGTGTCGCTCGTCCTCGAGATAAATGTCATCGAGGACACGATGACCCTGATGGCGGTGAGGAGTCGGGGTCAGTTCTGGGGAGTGGAGTAGAAGGTGTGGTGCTGGTGGTTCTGGTCTGGAGGATTGCTGGCAAACAGGAGCGGAGCGGTCTCTGATCCGTACCAGCTGAAACAGAGCGAGAAGAGGAGCAACAGATGACAGCTGTGCCTGCTGAGCAGTGTTTGAGGATCATCATATGGTATGAATTTATTTTAGTCCATAAAATGTTGTTTGTTGAAAGATGCTTATCACAGTTTCACCGAACCTTCAAATGTCTTGTTTAATCCAACCAAACAGTCCAAAACCAAGTATATAAAATTAGAGCTGAGACAATTAATCGATTAGTCAGCCAACAGGGAAATTAGATGTAACAATTGTGATTATCACTTATTTGTTTCAGACATTTATTAAGTAAAAACACCAACGATTCTCTGGTTCCAGATTTTCAAATGAGACTATTTGCTGCTTTATTTCTATCCTTTTACACCAAACACATGCAGATTGAACTTGCACTTTTCCCACTTAAGATATAGGCCAGATGTTAGTGAGTGTTACTGTGGTTTCTGTCCAGTGTAAAGTGGGTTTTAGGTTTCTATCACAGTACAGTGACTACTTTTGAAGGTTTGGTTTTTTTTACACTCCTGGTTGGACAAAACAAGTCATTTAAACATTTCAGCTTCAGCTCTAAGAAACTGTGATGGCCCTATTTGGACAATTTATTGATCAAACAATATTTGCAGACCTATATAAAATAAAGAAAAGCTGTGAATGATCACATCAGAGAAGCTGCAACTGGGAAGTGTTTGCATTTTCTCTTGTTGAACTAATAATTCCAGCTCTACCTGTGAGTCTAACGTGGTTTTAGTGTCAGTACCTTGCATGTGGATGCGAACTGCGTGCCCACGGAACAGGCGCATCCTCATCGCTGCCTTGAGGGTCATCAAAGAAATATGGACGAGGTAGGACCCTGTTGTTGATGGCCATGCTGCCGGTCTGTAGAGTCAGAGAAAACACAGGTTGCAATGACTTCCACTCAGCGATACACATTCAGTGCAGTTTGTGTCAGATGTTCTATCTACCTCTTGAGTAGGCCGGCGAACTCTGAAGATGAGGAGGAGTAAACTGGTCGGGAGCAGCTCCCATATGAGGAGGATGGCGCCAAAGACCAAGTAGCCCCGGTCGCCCAGTTCATCACGCAAGTCAGCCTACAAAAAAAAACACACACACAGTTATCTAGTAGTGTACTGGCATTTTTACAGGCTCTTGCTTTTTCAATCTTATAAAATACTGACAACCATCACTGCCAACTGTGTGTTACACTCAGATGTGGGAGGATTACCTGGTCAGAGACGTTGTACCAGTCAAAGTTGAATGACTCCACCCGGTGGCTCTGCGACAGAATGAGGACTGTGAGGTTGTAGCAGGCTCGACTGGCATACAACAAGATCACTGCAGCTCCCAGAGCGGCTGTACGGCACACTGTGGTCCCCTGGTCAGGTATAAAAACCACTGTTAGCCTCAGAATTATACAGGAGGGTAAGAAGTGTTTACAGGGGTATTCTCAAAATATATATCCTGACTTTAAGTCCATTTTATGGGTTAAAAATGCTGGGAACTATAATTCCTATAATATTCCTCACTAAACTACTAGTGATTTTATTCTCACTGGAACAGTTGCCTTGAATTTTTAATGAATTATACAAAAAATTCTCAACTATTTTTGCAACTTTTTACTTTTTACCACAATTTCATAGCAAAAACGTATATTACATTACATATATATATATATATATTATATATTATATTACATATTTGCACGTCACTTCAGAGCTCACCTTGCTGATCAGGTAGGGGCTGGTGGAGCGCGAGTGTCTCGTCAGGAGCAGCAGCGAGGCGGCCAGTAACACCGCATCCAGGATGAAGAGCAAGTCGTTGACTAGAACTCGAACCAGGACCAGATTCCAGGTCCACTTGCCTGACCCATCGGCAGCACCTCTGTCCTCGAGAGCCGCACAGACCACATTGACGCAGAGGAAGATGGCGCTCAGTGCACCATACATGCATCGTGCCAGCCAGCTGAGGAAGACATGGAAGCCAGAGTAACGAATGGATTAGTGGTTATATGTTGATTCTGAGGTTTAATTAATCGTTCAGAGAGAAAGTGTGATACAATATTATTCTAAATGTATAGTCTGTACTGTAGAGTGAAACTTACAGTCCTCTCTCCACCTCTGAACTGTAAATCTCTCTCACTTTGAGCAACACCTGCGGTACAAGAGAGAAATAAAAATCTGACATTAAGCATGAAACTGAAAGCAAAAGAAACATTGAATAAACATCCTGTTTCTGGTCGCTCTGAAGCGTTTACTAACTTCTTACTAACTTCAGTTTAATATCCGGTTGGCACAAAGTTATTGAAAGGAATTTCCCAGATTAAAGATTATGTAAAGATTATGACCCTGATATTCTAAAAATGTTGATTATTATTTGTTTTATTATTTATGACATGAAGTCTTTTTCTTATCACTGTGGCTGCATCAGAATAATTCTTTTTACAATCTTTTTGTAAATGTCCATCAGTATTTCCCTCTGGTGCATTAAAGAGAATAACCTCAGTCTTACCTGAGTAAAATACAGGTTAATAAGGCTGAGAGTGAAGAACTGCAGACAGACAGGGAAGCAGTAGAGCAGCCAGTAGACTGCCACAGGTAGGTGGTTAGCCTCCAGAGCGTTACGGAAGTAAAAGGAGAACAGGGTGGTGCGGAGGGCCGCCCAGAGCAGGCAGAGGAACAGAAAAACACTCTGGTAGCTCCATCTTTTATGTCTGTAGAGGTAGAGAAGCCAGAGCTGGACGTACACAACCAGGAACAGGCCGGCGTACAGAGTGGTATAGAAGATAGTGAAGCCAAGCTGGACCGAGGGGGCGATGGCCGGGTTCAAGGGGAACGGGGGAGGCAGGGTGGAGGAGTTGGGAGGAGGGGCAGCTGTAACTGGAGCTTCCATTGGAGTACTGACAGGACCAACTAACTGTCCATCTTCACAAAGAAACCGCCGAACCTTCTCCTCTCAGCCTGAAGGGTTTACGTGGGAGACCTGCAGGGGAGGGACAAAATCACAAGAGGCAACAGCAACACATGAGCAATGAGGAGGACATTAGTCAGCTGTTTAATTAACTGATTAATATCTGGTTATATTAACAGTTACTCAACAGATTGTTTGATGTCATTGACGGTATTGTGATATAAAATATAGACCTAACAGAATCATTTAACCACACTGCCAACTCTACTAGGCAAATAAATGCTTGAAATCATATAAATAAGAACATTTACATTCGGTAGATTTGTCAATATCACAAAAATTATAATATCTGATTCTGCTATTCTCATAAGGCCTCCCTCTAAAATAGTTTTACTGTATATATTATAGAGCTGCATACAAATAATGAGTACAATATCCAAATCCAAGTACAA